TAATAATTATAATATATATAAAATATAATCTTTTATTTATTTTTTAAATATAAATCTAATAATAAATATTAATTAAATTAATTTTTAAAAATACTTTATATTTAATAACTAATTTAAAATTTTAAAAATTAATAATAATAAATAATAATTTTTAATTATTATTTTATTAAAAACCTAATAATTAATATAAAATTAAAAGTATTATTCTTTTAAAAATAAATAAAATTAAAACTTTTATTAAACTTTTATTAAAAATAATTTATTTAATTTTTAAATTCTCTTTTAATCACTCCTTTAAAATCTTTAACTCCTTTAATAATAATAAATAAAAGGTAGAAAAATAGTAATATCCTTTTTTAATTTAATTATATAATTTACTTTTCTTTAAAAAGAGAGTTTTTTTACTCTAACCTTTATAAAAACTCTTTTAAACCCTTAATTATAAATATAATTAAAAGAATTAAAGGTAATTTTCTCCTTTATTTATTCCTTTTAACTTTTATTATTTTTTTATTATTTAAATTAAAAATATTATTAATTAAAAGAATAATATAATAATAAATATTTTATTTTTAATTCTTTATAAAAATCTTATAATTTATTAAATAATATATAAATTATTCTTTTAAAGTTATTAATCCTTTAAATAACGTTTTAACTTTATTTAAAAATATTATAAATTTAAAATTCTTAATAATAAAATAAACTTAAAATACTTTTAATTAATAATAAAAATATTTTAAATTTTTTTAATTTTAAAATAATTTTAATTAAAAAAGATTTAAAAGACTTTATAAATAAATATTAAAATATAATTAATCTTTTAATAAATATTAAAAAAATTTAATTTCTTTAAATTAAATTTTTTATAAAAAAATATTAATTAAATTTATTTAAACTTAAATATTAAAATTAATTTTAATATACTTCTAACCTTATATTATAATTACTTTTTTAAAATTATAAAAATATTATAAACCTTTATTATTTTCTTTTTTAATTCTAATTATTAATTTAACTTTTTACTTTAAATATTATTTTAATAAATAATTAAAATAATCCTTAACTCTTTACTTTAATTCTACTTTTAATAACCTCTTAATTAATAATTATTATAACTTTAAACTTAATTTATAAATATTATAACTTTTATTAATATTAAATAATTTAAAATATAATAATAAATAGTTAACTTTTATTATTATTAAAAATTAAGTTTTAAAATAGTTTTAAAATTATTTCTTTAAATATTTTAATTAAACTAAATATATAAACCTTTATTTTAAGATTTTTAACTCTAACCTTTTATATATAATAAACTTTAAGTTTTTTAAAAGTTATAATATTACTTTAAAAGGCTCTTTTTATTCTTTTTTATTAAAAGTTTTATTACCTTTTTATACTTTATTTTTAATTTTTATACTTTCTTTTTTAATTTATTTAAATATATTAATTTAAATTACTTAAATAACTTTAACTATTTTATTTTAATATCTAATAAATTTAAAATATATTTAATTTAATTTTTAAAAATTTAACTTTATAATTTAAAAGAAAAACTTAACTTTAAAATTATTACTTTTAACCTTTTATTTTAACTTTAAGATTTTAAAATATTAATAAAAAATTAAAGATTTTAATTTTTATTAATAAATAAAATTAATTAAATTTTAAATAACCTTAAAAATACTTTAAAAATCTTTTTAAAGTTATTATTAAAAATTTTAAACTTATTTTATTTATAATAATTAAATATAAATTTATTTTCTTTTTTAAATTTTATATAAATATTTTAATAATTTTAATATTTTTATTAATATAATTAAATATATAAATTACTTTTATTTTATTATTATAAAGAAATTATAATTAAAAATATAAACTCTTTTAAAATTTATTATTTAATTATTATATTATTATAAAATATAAATTATAAATAATAGAATAATATTAGTTAGTTTTAAATTCTTTAATTTAATTTTTAAAATAATTTTAATTACTTTAAGAATATTTATCCTTTATTAAAGGATTTAATTTTACTTTTATTTTTAAATAAAAGTATTATTTATTAAAAAGTATTTAAACTCTCTTTATTATTATTTAAACTTATTTAAAACCTTTTTTTTTAATTATTTATTTTTAATAATATTATAGGTAGTATAAAAAAAAGAATTAAAATTATAATAAACTATAGTATTAAATATAATAATATAAATAAAAGAAAGTTTAAAAGTTTATTAAGTTTAAATTTAATATAAAACTAATTTTTACTTTTTTTAAAGAAAAGGTAAGTAGGTGTTATCTACCTTTTAAGAGGCCTAAAGAAGGGGTATAGTTAAGTATTAAAATACCTTTAAGGTGCTTTCCTATAGCTTCCACCTAATTATTATAGTTTATTATTATAATATTATAATATTATTAGTTATATATTTAAAATAGAAATTATATTAATTTATTTAATAATAGTAAATTTAAGTAGTTATATAATAAGTATTAATAAAAAAGAGTTAGTTTATTAAATCTTATATTATAAATTTTTTTTTTTATAAAAGTTATTTTAAAGTTATTTTAATTTTATTATATAATTATTTTATAAATTTTAATTTTAATATTATAATAAATTAATCTTTAAACTATTTATATTAATAATTTTAATATAATATTATTAAAAGTAATACTTTTTAATTTTATTTATATAATATAAAGTTTAATTATATATTTATAAGTTAATGTCTACTTACCTAGTAATTATATTTACTTACCTAGTTTTTTTTAACTATTTACCCAGTACAAGAATTTATATACAGGGCCTATATAAAACTATGTACCTAATTAGGATTTTCTAAATTTTTAATACTTTTAATATAAGCCCCTTTTATACCCCTTTTAGCACTCCTTTTAGCACCCCTTCTAGTATGCCTTTTAGTACCCCTTTTGGCACGCCTTTTAGTACCCCTTTTAGTATACCTTCTAGTCCTTTTAGCCTATATATATTTAGGTACTAACTAAATATTTAGATGCTAACTGAATGGTAAAAGGCTAGAAGTCTAGAGTACTAAAGGGCTAGAAGGGGTGCTAAAAGGCTAGAAAGTATATAGTTTTTACTTTTACCTTTTTGGCTTCTGGCCTTTTAGCGTTTAGTTGGCATTTAAATGCTTAGTTGGTACTTAAATATATATAGATTAAATGGTGAAGGTGAAGGTAAAGGTGAAGGTAAAGGTAAAGGTAAAGGTGAAGGTATATTAGAAGGGGTGCTAGAAGGGGCTTATACTAAAAGTATTAAAAATTAGAAAAGGAAATTATACTATAGGGTCTTTTGGTGTTGATTTAGAAGGTACTTATAAATGTGAGGGAGTTGCTTAGAAAAATTGGTATTAGGTGAGTGGTTAGTAGGAACTAGGTGAGTAGATATAATTATTAGGTAAGTAGATATTAGCTCTATATTTATATATTATATTCTTTTTTTATTATTATTAATATTATATTTTTTTAAATATTAAGTTTTAAGTATTTATTATTATATAAAAATATTATATATATTTTATATATAGAGGGATTAAAAAAGAAACTATTCTTATTTTATATATATCTAAGGATATATATAGTGCCTTTATATAGTGGTAAGTACTTAAGACCTAGCGTTTAATCCTTAAATATAGATAGAATAAATGTGAAAGTATATAGAATAGAAGTAAAATTACTTTAAAGTTGCTCTAGAAATTAAATGTAATAAGATGTATGTATCCTAAGTATCTCTTATAGTAAGCATTCTTTTATTTGCTGTCTGCAGGAAATTAGGTCCCCATTGGACGTGTAAAGTGATACTAGGTGAGATCTTGATAGACTGTCACACCGCAAAATCTAGTCTAATGAAGCTATGTTCCCATGAATAGTGGTACAGTTCACCGCGGGGGCTTTTGTGGTTATTGGGCTTTAGGTATGGATGTACATGTGAAGTGGATCGAAAGAAGTCAAAATACCGTTCGGGGTATATTATCATATTGGACAGAATTATGAAATGCTGCGCCACAACTGAACTACGAATCCATGGAGACCCCCTCGCCGTATTGATCCTCGTCCACCCGTGCTACACATACCTCGAAATCCTCAAACCCACGCAATGACCAGTATCTGCCGACTGCGTAACACAGCGAAGACACGTCTCACTGCGGCCGAGGTGTAATTTACCACCCTCGTCACCGGAAATTGAATTTCTGACCCGAAAGTGATACAAGTAATGATAGAGACTTTATTTCAGAAAGCCAGATCGCTTTGTCTTTTCAATAGAGGACAGGATTCGCCCTACATGAGATATCTGGAACGGCGACAAACTCAGGATAGTAGCAATGAATCGGGATTCGACACACGAGAGATCAATCTTTGCGACTCTCAAACTCAACATGACCCGGCAGAATTGTTACCTTGGTAGTTTTGACTGTATTATGACCACACTAGTCAGAGTGGCGGCCCAAGAAAAGTCTGCAGTTCGACTGAATACACCTTCTGCTACTAGTTATACACTACCGACGTTAAGACCTCACAATGATTTCGTGTGTAAAAACTAAACTGGTCATGTGACGTTGCCTTGTATGAAAGGCGCAATCCGTCGAGACGCTGAGAAACAGTAGTGATAGGCTGGACTCGTGAGTGTCCGCACTATTTAAAAGGCATTTTCAACATGCTAGTTATTTTACGGCGTAAATTGAAAATTCCCTCTTTCATATTTCCTTTTCCACATAATTTCGAGTGTTCTATTTCCGTCGCCCGCATCAACCAGATAACCACTCACACCTCAACATGACATACGATTCAGCCCCCCCAGAGACCTTGATTGACACCGTAGAGGTGCCCCCACCGTTTTGGGGGATTTCAACCGTCATGTCACGGGGTGCCTTGGTAGGGATAAAATGAGATTTCCAAAAACACTCTGTTCCATTTGCGGACTTCAGATCACAGACCTCGAAGAGCCTGACATCGGCCCTTGGCCGGGCGACGCTCTTATGTTTGCGGACCTATCGCGAAAATACGAACATGTACAGTTTATGCGAAAATACCCGGATGATGTTCAGGAACCAGCCGTATTCTCAGCTGAGATTGGAATTTGGCGTAGCAATGTCAAAGGGTGCGGCTACAAACTCGGTCCAAAGGGTCTGCGACGCGAAGGCCCCTTTTTCCCTTACGCCGTCGATGTTAGCTCTTGGAACGGAGGACCGGGTGGGAGTAACCCAGTGTATATACCAATGCACAGAGACTGCTTTCACATTGCATTGAGGTCTCCGCGATGGGATAGGACAAGGGCGACTGCCCTGCGAGGGTTGTTCCGAGTACTCCGCCACCGCTTTCAGGTCGCTTTGGAACAGCGTCCCATGAATTTCCCCGGGATCTACGACAATGACCAAATAGTATGGGACCAGTCACGGTGGAATTTGCCGTATTCTTCCATCAACACAAGTGGATTCCAGAACACGGAAGGAGTTGAGAGGGGCTACTTCAGCACAGAATGGCTCCACCGCCAGTTTTGGGAGGAGTGCGACTGTCCCATGATGTACGATCCGCTGAATATCCCGTCACTGACCGAGACACTCTTGAAGAATTTGAAGCGTTGCGGTTTTCACAGAGTATCTAAAGAGACTCGGCTATTGCGGAAGCACATTGGAAATCTGCCCAATGAGCTAAAACTCATGATATACGAACTTTTGGTATAAGATGAGGAACTGCCGCTTGAATGTACGAGAGTAATGGAAGCCTGGTTTTGAAAGGCTCTATTTAAGAAGAACTATCCCTGCATGGAGTAGTTATGGGATCTCGACTTTAATCTACTTTAGCGAACCGACCTAGACTTGCGAATGGACTGGGAGTGGCTATTCAGAGAGCTATTACAGGGACCCAAGTTGGCCGAATGTGGAACAGTCCGCCCTGAATCTGATTATGAGACCTTTAAGGGCATCTTAGACCATGTCCCACTAGGACTAGAAGGCCGACGACGGGTTTGGAAGCTGGTGGAAGAAATGCGTATCGGAGACAGGAGTATGCGCTGGCAGCTGGAGCCCAACCTATAATTCGTTCGTGATGGACTTGGTGTTTTGAAGCCTGAAAAGGTAGAAATTGTCCAGCATATCCCGGAAGTCCCCGTGTACTGGGGCCCAGATGGCGAGCCGCTCGGCGAAGCAGAGTTGGGCGCTCTATGATGGGTCACCTGGAAATACAACAAACTCGCACCTGACTTTCTTGTCCCACATGGGTCCGCTTGGAAATGTCACACGGCGCGGACTAGTATCGCCTCCACAATGCTTGACGCAGTCGCTAGGCACAGGGACGGTGTATATGCCTGATTTAGCGACCACTTTTACCGACCTTGCATCTTCCATCGTCTGGCGCAGGGGCAAAAGGCTGGGTTGAAGTTACGGAATGTAGTAGTGTAAGGGTACCAGTTATTAGGGAGATTGAGAACTCGGGGAAAGGTGAGATCTTGTTCCGAGTAGAAAGAATGCCCGCTGGTGTATTTTGTCAGCTATCGCGCTCTTGGCCTTCCGAGTCTTGAATAGATAAGCTTTTGCCCGTGGGACGCGATTGGCTGTGGCACCAGTAGCTTGCGGGAGCGACTTAATGACGATGGCTGTGTCTAATTCCGGCTTTTGCCATCATCCCCCCCCCCGAGGCAACTTCACCAAAGCTTCCACAGGATGCGTTTGGGGCCGAGAGTCTAAGTACTTGGTGCATTTTTTGTCCACAAAGTACTTCGTCGGGCCTTAGCACTTAAACTGGAGCCAGCCCCAAGCTTATACTGAGGCGCCGTTCCACGTGGGAGAAGGAGTACATCGACCTCAGGACACCATGTCTCTTTGCCAAGAATTTGACCTTGTTGTGACGAACGGTGTCTGTGCTACTGCCTCTGACGTGTCACCCCTTGATATTGGTGTTAAAGGAGGGAAGATTGTTCTGCTCGCCCCTTCAGGCTCACTCAGTCAGGCTAAGGCGTTGAGAGTGATCGACGCTGAGGGCGGATATGTCATGGTGAGTCGCTCTCGCCTCTTACAAATCCGTGTCCATCCTATTCAATGGTAAGGCTGATTATTTGACAGCCTGGGGGCATCGATTGCCATGTTCATCTCCAAGAGCCAAGTATGTTCGGAAAGGGCAGCTCGGCGGACAGCTACGAGTCTGGGTCGAGGTCGGCCATCGCAGGAGGGTGCACCACTCTGGTTTCGTTCGCTCCCCTACAAAAACAAGATGAGTCCCCGATGAAAGCAATAGAGGCCACACACAGACTTTCCAGAGGAAACTGCTACTGCGACTACGGCTTCCACCTTCTCATGGGAAACGCAGGCCCCAAGGCCCTTGAGGAGTTGCAGCTGCTGAAATACCAGGGCGTGACCTCCATCAAGATTTACATGACCTACCAGGCGCTTCAACTCCGCGATGGTGAGATCCTGTCCGTCCTCCTGGCGGCGAGGGAGAACAAGATCCTCACGATGATCCACGCGGAGAACGGGGACGTCCTCGACTGGCTGACCGACAAGCTCGAGGCCGCAAAGTTGTTCGCGCCAAAGTACCACTCCAACTCGCGCCCGCCGGTCCTCGAGTCCGAAGCCACCAACCGCGCCATCTCGCTAGCCGCGCTAATAGCCCAGACGCCGATCCTCCTGGTGCACGTCAGCGACCCAGCCGCGGCGCTCCGGATCCGCGAGGCTCAGACACACGGCCAGCCCGTCTTTGCGGAGACGTGCCCACAGTACCTGTTCCTGACGCGCGACGACCTGAACAAGCCCGGCTTTGAGGGTGCAAAGTGCGTCTGCTCGCCTCCCCCGCGCAACCTCGAGGACCAGGACGCGATCTGGACTGGGCTCCGCAATGGGACCTTTTCCATACTCAGCTCGGACCACTGCCCTTTCCGGTATGATGACGCGCAAACAGGTAAGAAGACCTGTGTGACAGATGAGCACCCCGTGGGGAGGTTCAAATACATCCCCAATGGTCTTCCGGGAATCGAAACGAGAATACCACTGGCGTTCTCCGCCAATAAGATAGAGGTGACAAAGTTCGTGGAGGTCACGTCCACGAATGCGGCCAAGTTGTACGGACTGTACCCGAAGAAGGGCTCATTGATTCCTGGGGTCTCAGACGCGGATCTGGTGATTTGGTATCCGGATGGAAAACGTCCTAATCTGACCCTGACGAACGACATGTTGCACCACGACGTGGATTATTCGCCCTACGAGGGAAGGACTATTGAGAATTGGCCGAGATATACGATCCTTCGCGGTGAGGTTGTCTGGGACCGGGACAACGGTGGCGTCGTGGGGACCAAGGGATACGGACAGTTCATCAAACGCCAGGCTAGTTCCTTGGGCGGTGTGTGGGAGACAGTGGATCAACATGGGCCGTTTGACCTCGAGACGTTGTGATGTATCCACCATGGGCCAAAGCTCCTCTGTTCAGGAGTAATTGGGTAGCTAGCTTCCTATTATGCAGACCTTTCATTTTGTGTCTAATTATTTTCGGATTCTACCACATGTATTCCCCGGCGGGTGCTTGCATCAGAGAGAGACAAGCAAGATGATGCTTGTGCCTGAAGTACCACTTGTTTTACTTTTCAGGCATTGGGGAAGATTGCACGTTATGCCAGAACCAACTGCCCGCGTATGGCTGCAGGGTTTGGCCGGTGGGGGCAAACAAGCAATGTGTTTGTCTTGCATTTCTCCAAGTGTTCATGCGGCAACCCTTGCAACTGCCAGCTGGTGCTATGTGTTAAACTAGCTGTGGGGGTGACTAGGTCCTCTTTATTATCGACGTCTTGTAACGTACCTAGGTAGTTTGAAGAGGACATAATTCCTCACCGTTCCCATCCAGTCAGGTTAAAAATAGAGAGAAAGCAGAGCTAGAAGTGCCGTGAATTCCAGAATAACTCAAATCTAAATGATCAAGCAACTCCGCGCCTAACTCAGTTCGGATCTAGCTCACGAGGGTCAAGACTTGGCAGGGCCCACCACACCACATTCGACGTTGAAGTTAGGTGTTTTCACGTCCCGACTCCCGAGAATTCCGTGCCGTTCCTGCGCCACCGCTCGCATCCTTTTGCGGGGATTGCATGTCTTCTGGAAGCTAATGCGGCAATGATTGGGTCCAAGACAGGCTGCCCCGCCCTTACATCAGAAGTGATACGAGGAACCCTCCTCGTATTTGTGCCTGCAGAACAGAGAATGATGTAGCAACACTACCAACCCCACACCTCGAACGGGCAAGGCCGACGACAGTGGGCGTGACCTCGGGACACGATGGTAGGAACCTCACGTTGGATTCTATACGAAGATCGCCCAAAGAAACAGGCGCAGGTGACGGTGAGGCGCATTCTTGACTCCTCCCGCCAAGATGACGTCCCATTCCAGGAATCAGCTGTTCCGCGCCGCTTAGAGGAGGCATATGCTGAAATAGGTATATAAGTCGGGCACCGGCTCACCTTGTCTGTGGTAAATGTTGAACAAGTTGACCACACACGCTCGCTCATCCACTACAAGTATCTCGGTATCAAGACATCAACACAAGCCCAACGCAACCCGCAAAGATGAAGTTCTCCGCTACCATCATGGGCGCTGCCCTCATCGCCACCGGCGCCTCTGCTCAGCAAGCCGCTGTCAAGAACAACTGTGCCAGCCCTATCTACGTCCAGTCATTCCCTTTCGATGGTAGCGCGGCCGGCCCTCTCACCACTGTCCAGCCCGGCCAGTCCTTCTCCGAGGACTTCAGGAAGTCTGGCTCGGTCAGTGACCCTTTTAATGCATTGACGCCGCGAACGCAAAGCTGACCCAAACATCTAGACTGTCAAGGTTGCCAAGACCAGGACCCTGACCAGCCCTCTGTTCTTTGGCTACAGCTTCTCGAGCAACCCAGACTACGCCTACTGTATGCCATCACACCTTCCTAATACGTCTCACCCTGAGCTAACTGAAATGCTTCTTCCAGACGAGCTTAGCACCGAGTGGGGAAACCCCTTCGCTGACCAGCGCAACATCCTGACCCCCGGCGACGGCTGTGAGCTCTTCAACTGCGCTGCTGGCGATGCTGGATGCTACAGCACGCCCGCCATGAAGAAGGTGTACGGCTGCCCCCAGCCCGTCAACCTGGATGCTACCATCTGCGCCTAAATTATCCATTGGTCTAAGGGAAGGATGCCGCCTTAAATGGTTGGTTTCTTGGTGATTGGATTAAGTGCGCCCACCCGCCAGAGTCACGAACCCAAGGAAAAAGTAATGTGAGGAGGGAGCAAAATTCAGCACATAGGTCGGCCGTCCGACCAGCGAATGTTTTACATTAAAGCTTAATCTTCATTCATCTTGCATGACACCGGCATTGCCAAATAAATAATTACGTAGCGTCATGATACAACTTTATGAGCGCATCGTCCTTTTCATTCCGCAATCATCTTCGCATTGTCACAATTTCCTTGAAGTTCCGCATTTATCATGTTATCAATCTGCCTTTCTTCATTGTCTCTCACTGCCTACCTGGGTAAGTGGCTACCTTGTCAAATGATATACCCATAACAAACATGTGATCATTAGAACAACATAAGTCGTTCAAAAGAAGAAATGACTTGCACAAGCCCCAATCAACATACAATAAAAACCGAAGGCAAAATCGGCTCAACCACTTCCTGTATGTCCAATTCTATCTTACACGGGTCCTCCACTACCTGGGTATCTCATCTTCCACCTCAGGCACCTGCATAATGGGCAGGTACGGTAGTCCACCAGCCGGAGGTCCTCAACACGCTCATCCTGCCTCGAACCCCTCTCGGTGAGATCATAATCTGGAAGACTGAAGCCACGAGAGTTGAACATCCCGTTCATGGCCCACGTGTGGTTCCAGTTCAACATGCAACCAACATCGAGGGAGTCTTACATGAACTTGGGCCGGAGTCTGATGTACCCTTTGATCGCTTCCTGTCGATAGAGGGGCCATCCAAGGGTAATTGTGACGGGTGCATCTCGGCCGGTTGAATGCACATGTGGGCGAGGACCACTGAGCACATATGTACCTAGGTAGCCATCCAGCCCGCGGGGTTTCAGTACAATATCACTTTCCAAAGTGTTCTTCAAGGCAGATGTCCATAGCCCCGATCGCGTTATTGTGTGGCGATCTTTGCGACACAGGCTCCAGACTCTCGATCGCAGGTTGACCATATTTCGGATGTTGGAATAGTCGCGGATCCCAGTGGCTATGCGAAGTTGTCTGATATTCAACAGTCACCGTTGCTGTCTATGACCGGACCGTGTACATGAACGCCATTTCAGACTGGACTTTCATGTTTCATAAAAATCTTCTTTGCTTCTGTGTTGATGTCGTCCTCCATCTTCGACAGGGAAAACATGGATGGGGCTCATATGTGGCCATGAGCGTCTAGTCTTTCGACTTCAATGGTGTTGTTGATATGACAATGACCACCGGCACGTCCCAAGCCGATAGTACCATAGCAAAGCATCATGGGTCCCTGGGCCTGCCGCGAATTCGTACCTATCGATGGCTGACACGTCGATGCTCCAGCTTCGCGATGCGACGCTTACCATTGACCAGGCAACGAGTCTGATAATCGAAACAAATCATACCTGCGTTCAAGGAACATATTCCGGAGAAGACGCCGATGTTGTTTAATTTTCGAAAGGGCAGACGCATACGGTCTCGTGCATCGCTGGAGTTCGCCGTACATCTCGGCGACCTCATTGACCGTTCGGCAGTGTCGGACCCACTGCTCCGTATTATCGGCCCGACATAGATCTGGGGTAGAATAAGATTCAATGGCTTTGTTGCTGAACTCTGAGGAAATGCGAGACATATGATTTGTTGCGAAATCCGTCGCGAGTCTTCTCATTTCTCTCCGCCGACAGATATCATGCCACGCCAGGGAGTCCCATATTTTAGGCTCCCCCGGCGTCTCTATTTCCGGGGCATTAGGTACGTATTGGATATTTTCGCAAACCGTAACACGTATCAATACCAAAATCCGCTTGTATGTCTCAGTGTCGAGGCTTGCTTGGATGTTTGTGATGAGGATCGGCTCTCGGTAGCCTGCGAAGGCTTGTGCAAGTGCTTTGCTAGCGCGTATTGCCGCATAGAGATCTTCGGGGGAGTCCATTTGAGCCAAAATCATCTGGAGAAGCTCGACGGGCAGGGACCCGATAGTAGTAGGTGCACTTTGTGAAGCCATTTCGAAGGACCCCACGAGAAATCTGTTTCAGGGAAGATGTCGATCTTCGAGGTATTCAAACTTTGAAGTATGTGGGTGGGCCAGGTCTAAGGACAAACTTGGCCAATAGTTGATAATTTTTGATAATTGCGGGTGGTTTTGGATTAATGTTATTGTTGGTGGATTTTTGATGGTCTGCGGCTCAAAGGGAGCTCCATCATGAGACTTTTATAGTCACAAATCAACCAATTTTTGAATTATGAGCAATTTTGTTCACATAGTGCGTGAAGTCGCCATGGCGTCTAAGTAGTCTCTGAAGCTAGAAGGCTATCGGCAGCCTTGGAAAGCTATGGCCGAACTAGAGTAAGAGCCCTAGAATTCTTAGTGAAGTTTTTTGTCAGTCAACTACCTAGATGATTACCTAGGCAATGTCGCGAATGCGTGTTGGATCATAGAATCGGCACTATGGTGTTCTCTGGCGTACGTAGGTAAGATAGCAGAAGCACACTTGAAGTGCCCAGGCGGTTGGCTCAAGCACCCATGTCTCCAATCACCATCTACGGCGTACTTGCACAAAACTTTCACCTTTCCCAGGGATGGAATTCCATGGCAAGCTTTTCCAAACTTTCTAGGGCAGTGTTACTAGTTAGCAAGGCAAGGTGGCTATGAACCTATCCATCTCATAACAGCAGCTGCGACTTTCCAGGATAAGACATTCATAACTGGTTTCGCTTCTATTCCGCACTCAAGTATACTACATGGCGCCTTCATACGGTGGTAAACGCTGAACACAGCGCTTGAAAAAAAGATATCATGTCGATAACTATAGTTGAAATATGATGGGTTTAAAATATGAGAATGGATATACACACCTAGAAAAATAGATAGTATAAATATATATGCTATCTGTCTTTATAGGTGCGAGTATCCGTTCTCTAAAACATTAATAAGCGGGGTGAACACTCCCCAGGTCCTGCAAGATCACGGTCGGCAAACGTTCTGGCGAGATCTATCATGAGTAGATCATACTGGTTAAAAATATGAGAACGGAAATTTGGATAGATACCGTGCCAGAATTTTCTTCCCAAAGCTAAAAGATAGGTTGAAACCCCCCTCCTGGAAAACGACCAAAGCACCCTTGGTCTCCACTGTGAGTGCAAGGTGCACATGTGCAAGACCCCAGGCGCGACTTTTCGGAAATGGCATGAAAACCTGGTACAATGGCTCTGATGTTTGAATAGTCGTTGCTCCAGGCTCTAAGATGCATTCGGATGTTGCTTTCAACACAGGGAAGCCTCGTGGCCAGCCTTCAGTCTCAACTTTGAGAGCAGCCCTTCAAAAATTAGGAAAGCTCTCACCAGGGTTCAGCGACATTTTCTGTCCCCTTGGCCCATTAATCATGGGTAATACTAGGCAGATACAATGGATACAAATACACCTATTACTGCCAAGCTCAGTCTCCTGTCTTTACCTATGTACCCTAGGGTACCTGTTCGGATAACCATTTTCCGTACCGTGGTCTGCAAGGCCTCAAGTTGTTGGATCGAGGCACAGCGGTCGGAACCACCCCGGCATGCTGATCCGCCCAGGGCAACAGGGCCCTCCGGCAGCGGTTAAAATGGCGACAGCGGTTAAATGGCGATCCACATACCCCATCAACCCATCAAACGGTGCGGCGTTGACTCGCTGCTTCGGCCCTACAGTACTCCAAGTCCCCGGGATAATGTCGGGTCGGTGAGGCGTCATTCCCAATGCAAACGCGAGATGTGAACCATGACTGCATGAGTGGGTCGCTTCCGATGGGAAAGCAACATCGTGGGCGATGTGACATCCATACGATGAGGGGAAATCACTGCAGTGTCTCCGACACAACGTGACGACGTACGACATTTCCCCAAATAGCCTCCACTATAGCCGCGGGGAAGCTTGGGGTATCCGCGTGCCATCTTTACGGATGTTGGAAGAGGTCGACGGCATGGTACATGCCCGCGGATGATATCCGGGCTCTACATAACGGCCGGGATCACTGTATAAGAGTCGAGCGGCAGCATCGCCAGCAATTTTCGTTGATTGTGCCCGGCAGAGGCTTGTTCTGAGACTTCCGCTTTGGCAATGACGAAGTCTATCCTCTTCCTCGGTGGCCTCGTTGCCCTAAGCAACTCGACGATAGCAGCATCACACTTCCCGGACTGCAGTAGCTCTGGTCCTTTGGGGAACAACTCTGTGTGCGATACCTCCTTAGGTGAGATACTCGGCCTTCAAGCAATGCCATCCTCGCATGGTCGCCCAAGATACTGACAGTTGCTTCAAGATACGGTGACCCGCGCCAAGGCACTCGTCGCGATCCTGACCACCGCTGAGAAGATCAACGCCACCGTGAGCACCTCTCCAGGTGTGCCTCGGCTGGGCCTCCCTCCGTATGAGTGGTGGAACGAAGCGCTTCACGGTGTCGCCAAATCCCCCGGTGTCAGCTTCAACCCAGACAGCGGGTCGGAATTCCAGTACGCAACTTCATTCCCTCAGCCAATCACCCTCGGGGCGGCCTTTGATGATGCCCTCGTGCATGCGGTCGCAGAAATCATATCCACAGAAGCCAGGGCCTTCAGCAATGCCGGCCGCGCCGGTCTTGACTTCTGGACGCCCAACATCAACCCATTCCGTGATCCGAGATGGGGTCGAGGTCAGGAGACGCCGGGCGAGGACCCCTTCCACCTGAGCAGCTATGTGAGGGCACTTATTGACGGACTGGAGGGCACGGGAGACTCTGTGGGTAACAAGGATGGCAAATACAAGAAGGTCGTTTCGACATGCAAGCACTTTGCAGGGTACGACCTGGAGAGCTGGAACGGCAACTTCAGATACCAGTTCGATGCGTCGATCTCGACACAGGACATGGTCGAGTACTATTTGCCACCCTTCCAAGCATGTGCTCGCGACGCAAAAGTTGGCGCCTTCATGTGCAGTTACAACGCTGTCAACGGTGTTCCCACGTGTGCGGACGACTGGCTCTTGAATGATGTCCTCCGCGACCACTGGAACTGGACTGGTGGGAGCGACGACGGATTTTGGGTCACGTCGGACTGCGACGCCATTCAAAATGTCTTCCTCCCGCACCGATGGGCAACATCCCGTGAGGGCGCTGCCGCCGCCTCGCTAAAGGCTGGGACGGACCTCAACTGTGGGACCTATTACAGCCATCATCTCCAAGGTGCATATGACCAGGGTCTCATTAACGACACGGACCTTGACACCGCGGTGACTAGATTGTATGGTAGCTTGGTCAAGCTTGGGTACTTCGACCCGGCCGAGTCGCAACCGTACCGCTCGCTGGGCTGGGAAAATGTGAACACTCCTGAGGCACAGCAACTCGCCTACACGGCGGCAGTTTCGGGCACGGTGCTTCTCAAGAACAACAACACTTTGCCCCTAGGTCTAGAAGGCAAGAAAGTCGCAGTCATCGGCAACTGGGCCAACGCCACCGCACAGCTCCAAGGGAACTATCTAGGCGTGGCTCCCTATCTTCGCTCACCACTATACGCCGCAAAACAGCTCCTGGGCAACGACTCAGTCTTCTACTCCTCCGGCCCATCCAACGGGGACCCGACGACCAACAAGTGGGTCTCAATCTGGGACGCAGCGTCGGCTGCGGATGTCATTCTGTACTTCGGTGGTATCGACGAGAATGTCGAGTCAGAAGGGTCCGACAGGGTCAGCATCTCATGGACAGGCCCCCAGCTCGACACCATCGGTGAGCTCGCCCTGATGGGCAGCCCATGGTGGTGGTGGCGCTTGGAGGCGGTCAGATCGACAGCTCCCCCATCACTGAGAACTCAGGAGTGGGTGCCGTTTTGTGGGGTGGCTACCCGGGCCAGGACGGCGGCGTCGCGCTCCTGGACGTCATCACTGGGAAGCAGTCGCCCGCAGGCAGGCTGCCTACCACTCAGTACCCTGCGAGCTACATCTCCGCCGTGCCCATGACAGACATGGCTCTGCGGCCCGATGCAGGGAGTAACTTCCCTGGCCGGACATATCGGTGGTATGGTGGTGATGCTGTGTTTGGGTTTGGATACGGCCTGCACTACACCACTTTCGACGCCGATATGAGTCTGACCGGGTCGGGGGGAAACTTCGATATCGCGAGTCTTACCTCGGACTGCACAGAAGAGTATTTGGATCTTTGCCCCTTTGCCTCAGTCGCCACCACAATTACCAACACTGGCGAAGTCACATCCGACTACAGCGCGCTCCTCTTCCTCAAGGGCGAGTTCGGACCAGCGCCACACCCCCTGAAGACCCTCGTCTCCTACGGAAGAGCACACAACATCTCGGCCTCCGAGTCAGCACAGGTAGCCCTCAAGCTGACCCTGGGAAGCCTGTCGCGCGTCGATGAGACTGGCAATAGGGTCTTGTACCCTGGCTCCTACACCCTCCAGCTCGACGTCGAGCCAGGCCTGGCACTCTTGAACTTCACTCTGAGTGGAGAGGCAAAGATCCTGGACGAGTGGCCCGCAGCACCGGAAAATCGCAGCGGCATGGGCACTGGCGAAGTGCCGGCGGGCTACTATGTCGGCGGATATGGGAGCCTTAACGACGCAGGAGGGCAGTTGCCGCTCGACAAATCAAAGGCCTAGGTAGACATGGAGTGAAACCTGGAATTGTATCATGGAGTAATAGTGCTGCTCTGTGGGCTGCAGTAAACTTTAATTTGACTTGAGTAGTTCGCCCCACAGTCAGGCAACATGAACACAAAGCTCACATGCCTACCTACCTATCGCAACACTTCTGCCGCTGAAGGCTCAACTTACTTCACCTCCTTCACGGCTGTCTTCTCCGGAAATGTGACATTCAATTAAGTTACCTTCGTACTGAGCACGAGCATGCAAGGAGATCCGCCGTTCAAGTGATTAAAGTGAAACAAACATTATGTATGGAGCCAGCTTGTCGGCGCTTCTGGAAGCGGGGTGCCTGACTCTGAGCCGTAAGTAGGAACTATCCCAGCAGCTACTTCACAGTCCAACATCGAAAAGCGCAGCTATTTCTTGAAGTCTCCGTCACAGTCTGTCTTGACCGATCTTGCAGCGCCTCCGGCGTCTAATACTAACAGTCACGCTGCAAGAAAGGATAAACCATCGCATGTGAACCTGATAGCCAGGTCAAGAACTGACATCCAACTGTCAACCGATATACCAAACGAACCACGCTGTCAGCATCATTGACAGATGATGGGTCTGGCAATCCGACACGAGGTGCCGAGGAAACCAAACATCGACACGCGGGAGCCAAGAACACATGAGGATCAATGCCCAGGTGATCTCCATGATCGGAGGATTTGCGAAGATCAAAACAAGTATTGAGAGACAGCCCTGAAGTACAGGGAGCCCGGTCATATGTGACATGCAAATTGATTGGTCTGACTTCGACATCATTGGCCTGAAATCTTTCACTCTGCTTTTCTTTGATGGTATCTTGACGCGCGGGCTTAATTGTTTCGTCTGTCGCCGAGCCCTGGTTTCACGATGTTGGGCCAGACCAGATGGAGGCCCAAGCCATCTCAATGCTACCTTGCGGCTTATAAACAAAGTTTACGTTCGTCGCTCAAGGTTCGAATTGTTCAGTTGGCTCGGTTTCGCCCCGTCTCCCCCGTGCCACCAACTGGCTCTCTAGAATATCGCACATGTGGTGAGTGGGAGATGCTCTCGTCTGTGAAGACCGCGCCATTCCCGAGATCTTCACCCTTTCTTTTGCTCTCGACTTGGGTTTCGCCTGGTCTCACATGGTCACGAAGAAATGAATGCACAATTCTAGGATGGCAGAAGCTCTGATACTCATGCTCTGGTACCTGACTACGCCGGCGACTAGGATGCCTGATGCTGGTCGGGAGCTGTCAGTGCTTTCACCAAGAAATTCCAAGCCTGTCATCATGCTTATTCAGATTTGACTTCGGCACGAGCTACCACGTCCAATGGTGTTGGTGGGTCTTGTATGGCTGCATCCCAGCCCATACATCTTGGCATATCGAATGCGTGTGTGCCCACGGGGGTTTATACGCGGGTGCGGCCATGTGGTAGGTCGGTGAAGCAATCACGAAAACACGATCATACTTCCAGGGCCAGGCACTAGGTAAAGCTTACCAAGTTTCATGCACCAGGGGAAGAGGCGTCGAGGAAGAATACTGTATCGACTTACCAGTCGATCATTGCATGGTTGTAAATCACGGTGATCAACACCTGTAGACCGCTCGTTTAGTCTCGTGGCTGAAGTATAAAAGATGGAAGCCTGCTCGTAAGTAGCCATAATATTTACCAGATCCTGGCTGTGGTCAGTCTTCTTCTCCTCAGCAGTCATTTCCCCATCAATTTTCTCAATAAAGATTCGAGGCAGTGCCTTGATTTCCCTCCCTAGTGGCATATCTCTCAATATAGTACTTGGTCATCTAACTCCGACAATCGACGTCGCTTTTCCACAAACCCCAACAACATGTTGTCCAAAGCCCTCATTCTATTCCTTGTGCCCTTTGTCGCCGCACACGGCAAGGTGGCCGTGATGCAGGGAGATGCACCTGGAGACCCGGGAAACACAACGGGTCTGGCTATCCAGGGAGCCGTTGTTCCTGGACCTGGCAGGAACAAAGTGGTAAGTTACGGAGATCTTGGCGCTTTCCAGACAACTAAATATCTCGTGACATTGTCTAACCATTACCAGACTGAAGTCGACACCACGGTGTTCGGCAGGACCAACATCCAGTCAAACGGCCTTGGTCGGACCACGGGCGGCGGCAAAAACACGGTCGACATGGTAGCTCAAGCACAGGTGAGCACTGATTACGCATTTCCCAAGCAGGCGAGCTTACAAGAAACGTCCAGGAACTTTCCGGCGGCGGTTCCCTCCCACAGGTTCAGAACCAGATCACAGGCGTCTTCCATGTCGTGACCTCAGACGGCTGCGGCTCCGTCAAGGCCGTGATCGACCCGACGGCAACAGGGGCATTCGCAGACGGCACCATAGCCGAGACGACGGCTGACGTGCCCGGCAACAACGGCAACTGCCCGCGCAGCATCAGTAAGAAGTCGTATATCAGGTCGGTGCTCGAGAATACGGGCGTCATCACCAAGCGCGCCACCAACGTCAACCAGGACTTCAATATCGCCTTTACTGTTCCCTCGGATACGACCTGCACGGGCAAGGTCAACGGCCTGGCGGGCGTGTGTCTTATGAAGATTGCTAATAACAATCAGGCTGGCCCGTTTGGCGGTGTGATCGCCTTCCAGATGGCTAATACGTCGTCGACCACGCCGGCCACGACGCCTGCTACGCCGCCTGCTCCTGCGACCGGTGCCGGCGCCGGCGCCGGCACTGGCACTGGCACTGGCACTGGAGGCACCGCCGGGGCAGGTAACGGCGGTAAGGGCACAGGTCAGAGTGCGGGTGATGATGACGAGAATGGTGGTACTGCCAGGAGGCACGCTCGCAGTTTCAACGCCTGACAAGGGAGGTGGAGACCCAAGAGAGGATGTTCGTAACTGGCTGTCGCTCATTTCCCCATCCGGCCCCGGCATGGCCCGACCACACACTCCTTGCCTCGCACAGGTTTGGATGCGAACAGATTTGGCTCTTTTGTATTTGTGTTTCCTTTGTACGACTTATGATCATCTGTACAAACTACTCTCGTTCCTGTAACTGTACACATTGTCCATAGGGTCTGGAATGAATTGACGAGAATAATGAAGCAAATCAATGTCCTCGAATTCCGTACCTGGAGAAACGAATCGTGACGGCCGGCACCGACATCACTTACGGGTTATCAAGCACATCAGCCAATGTTCCAAAGTCATATATTGTAAAGTGTTTGCGTACCTAGGTAGCTATGTCTGAAATCATCACGCTTTTACTATACTTCCTTGGTCTGTCTGACGGCGCTGTAATAAGCCCGGAAGTACTACCACAGCCAAAGCTTGGCAACGTCCCTATACTGCCAACACGAAATATCCCAAAACCATCAATTTCTCCCTAGAATCAAACCAACTGAGCAAAATCAAGAACGTAAAAAATAGTAATTGGTATTCAGGAAATGCAAAAGAAGTATTTTGCGACAGCGATCGGATTTGAACCGATGCCTCCGAAGAGAATAGATTTCGAGTCTATCGCGTTAGACCACTCCGCCACGCTGCCATGCTGCCGAGGGGTTTGTGTCAGCTCATAGAGTGCAAAACGGCAAAGCGGAGGATGAATCCAACGGCAGAATACATTACGTGAAACCCCTGGTAATCTAGTTGAAGGGTACTGTATTCTCTTTCCACTGTTATTGGCACTGTATTTCTTCAGACGCTGGGTCTTGAGCGTTTACCACTGTATGAAGGCGCCACGTACATTTTACATGTATGGGGATTAAAAACGAAACCACTCTAGTTGAAGGGCATCGACTGACGCATTTTATGAGACTGACCCAGGAACCTTGGAACATCGGGCTTGCGCTCTAAGCCCACGCCTTGCTACATGCAAACAATCCGATGGCTCGTACCTAACCACCTCCATCGTAATCCTTAAAGCCCCTCGCGACCAACCATCCAAAGTTCCCTAAATCTAGATCCTTTCGTTGCTATCAATGTCGTAGGCCGACCTCTCTCAACAATACTGCCGGCATCCATCATGACGACTGTGTCAAATTCCATCACCATATCCAGGCGATGACTAACCATGACGATCGTGTAATCGGCGAATTCTTCCCGGATGATCTTCTGCATGACAATGTCGGTGTCATGGTCAACACCAGAACTGAACTCGTCGAGGAGCAGGACACCCCGCTGCGTTGCGCCCGTGTCGCCATAGCTGCTCCCAAAGTCTCGCGCTCTATTCCTATGTCTTAGTAGAGAGCGAGCGAGGTTGAATAGTTGCTTCTGCCCTTGTGACAGCATAACAACATCCATTCCGGCTGCAAGACCCCCATGCTCCTCAACCAGGTCCCTCAGTCTGATGGAGTCCAACACAGCCCAGCATTCTTCCTCGGACGATGCACCGACCGGGTCTAGATTCATTTGGAATGAGGAACCGTCTGGAAGGAACACCACATCCTGGGGAATAGTAAGGATTCGCTCGCGAAGGACGGTACGATCAACCAGTTGAAGAGGGATGTCATCGATTATGATGCTTTCAGAACAGCTCGGGAGTGGATCCAGAAGGCGGAGGAGAAGTGATATGATGGAAGACTTCCCACTTCCACTTCGACCGCATATGGCGACTTTCTCACCGGGGCGTATAACGAGGTTCAGACTTTTCAACGCCAGTGGCTGTCTTTTTGCGTCAATGCTATCGCTGCCTGCAGTCCCAACCCCAGTGGCGGTAGGCTCGGACAAGGTTAGTGTTTCATCGCCAATGTCCCTAGCAAGGTTTACTGTTAGATGGTCTGGTCTTCAAGATACCATGATACACTTACGCGTACGTAGCCGACACATTGTTCAGCTTGATCCCACCATGCGGCCAAAATGGTGGCAGGACAAGCGTCTCACTACCACCACCTTCCGGCTTGACCTTCTCGCTGAAGCTTTTCAACCTGGCAACAGCACCAATGGACGTCTCCAGGAGCGTGTACATGGTGATGACGTACATCAAGCCTTCAGAAAAGCTCATCAATGTAACGAGACTGGCCCCCGTGAAAGCTGTGTTAGAGCCCAGCTGCGTCGCCAAGGTGACGATGGCGACCGCAAGGATTGCAACTATGAGCCGAAGCACAAAGCCGAGCCAATGCTGAATGATGGCGAGGAGGTAAGCTGGTCTCTGTGACGTATCCAGGTAGTTTCTGTTCAACTGCGTGTTCTCCGAAACCCAACCAAATGCACGGATGGTTGCCAACCCCTTGATCGTGTCAATGAAATGAGAGCTATGCTTTTGTTAGCGTCCGTGTTCTGGGACTGGGGTCAGCTGGACTTACTAGAGTGGACCCTTCGTTTCGAGGTCTAAAAGTCGCATTTGCCGCGATGTGCGAAGGTAGAATTTCTGTATCACGTATACAAGTCCAAAGAGAAACGGGTAAGTGATAGCGAGATATGGGGATGATGTGGCTATGACGGCGGCCTGGCCCAACGATGAGAAGACATAGAGAGACATGTTTGACAAAGCCATCGGGAGTCTGCCGTCAATCAAGGTCATGTCCTGAGAAAAGAGGTTGGTAACGGTGCCGGTGTCCGTCCTAGAAAAGAATCGAAGAGGCGCTGAGATGATGGTAGTCAATGCATCCTGATGCAACCTAGACCCGGACTGGGTCACAATGTTTCTAAAGCATATGAGGCTCATTATAAGTAATGACAACGGGGTGCAGATTTGAAAGAGGGCGTAGAACCCAAGAAAGAACGAGTCCGAGTGCGCGCGATGTGTGGATGTAATGTCGTCAGACCAGAACGTGAGCCAAACGTTTGGGAAGCTGTAGAAGAATCCCCATGCCATTGCAGAAACCAGGAATGCCAGTTGGAACGAGATGCTGATGCGAGCGAAGTAATGCTTGTAGACTTGAACGTCACCAGACATACGGCTGAGCTGATTCTTGTCTGAATCTTCTGTGTCTGCCTTGGGTTGTCTGGTAGTTATTATCTTCAAGCTGGCCGCCTGTTGCGTTACATCCGTTTCAATCTCCGAATTATTGGAGTCCTGATGGGATTTGTCCTCAACATTGAGGCTATGAACATAGCCCTGGTTGGCCACCAGTTCGTAAAATGTGCCCTGCTCAGAGATCGTCCCCTTCTCATCGAGAGCAACGATATGATCGGCCAAGGGCAAATATCTCACAGAGTGCGTGGATAATACCATGGTGGCTTTTCTGCGGCGGAGGACGCCATTGACTGAAAAAACCCTCCGAAAAACCTGGTCCTCTGTATCAGCGTCGAGTCCTCGGAGAACATCATCGCATATCACAATATCGGTCCCGTGGTACAGCGCTCTGGCAAGGCAGACCCGTTGTTTCTGTCCGCCGCTCAGGGTGATGCCATCAGTGCCAATTTGAGTCTGATCTCCTTGTGGGAGTAGCACATCCAGGTCGTGACGTAGCACTGCTGCCTCAACAGCCTCGTCGTACCTTTCCCCGTCAAAAGGTGAGAACCCAACAATATTCTCTCGAATACTGGCGTTGGAAAGATAGGGAGTCTGGTCACAGTATGCGACGCGAGTCGAGTCGGGAGCAAAAGAGGTTCTCGTTGTTCCTAGTGCGACGGGAGTCTCGGCGAGCAGTGCCTTGCACAGTGTTGATTTGCCCGATGCCACTGGCCCAATAATGATAGTCAGGCCTGACGTGGGAATTCTGAGGTTGATATTTGTAAGGATAATTCGGGCGGGGCTCCACCCAAAAGATCCATTGGCTATCTCGACCGCGTGCGAGGGTGTGGTGATCGTTCTACCCCCTACAGTCTCTTCGAGGCTATCCGCTGTCCTTAAATCGGTGTGTTGTGTTGAACTTTTGACCCGGAAGTCTTGACGGTCATCTTTCTCCAAGAACACCTGAATCCGGTCGAGGCAAGTGAAGGCTGCCATCAGCGTTTGTATTGATTGAAAGAGGACGGACAGTGGCGTTGCCAGTAGGACGATGTAGGACATCGAAGTGAAAATAGTCGTAACACCAAGCCCTCTAGATGCGAACACAAACGTCATCACAGGGGAAAGGCACAGTGGTGTCACGCCCATAGTTGCTGTGAAGGACAGGATAAGGCGAAATCGCGCCCCGGCTCGCAGCTCATCAACACGCATCTGCTGGACCAGTTTGCCCATCGGAACAGCAAGACCCGACATCTTCAGATTCTTCATATGCCCAACAACAGTCGAAGTAAGCCCGACCCGCTTCTGGATCTGCTCCATCCAGGCCTTTTGACGTGGCCCGGTAAGTCGGGCTAAGATTGTGGAACACGCAGCACAAACTCCAACCACGATCAAGGGGGACAGGAATGCCAAGCCGATCTGTTGCGAGAGGAGCCAGCAGGCGACGGCAACCTGGGCGGTATTGGCCCAAAGCTCGTGGATGTTCAGAAACCCGGCGATGATGCGCTCGATGTCGCCACTCATCAATGTTAGTGCAGAGTTGTCGGCTGCTGGCAGGCTCACTTCTGTGGTCTTCCTGTAAATTGCTGCGACCAGGGCTCCTCTAGCCATATACATCGCTCGCTCTTGGTAGTACCAGTAGAGTGCGAACGTGATAGCAATGCTGAGGTAGATCAAGATTGTTGCCCCAATGAGGCCATAGCCAGCATTCTTGGACGGATTTGGCTCTTCCAGATGACTGAGTAGGGTGTTGATCAGGTAGGACTGGCAGAATTGGAACACAGCCATTGCTGCTCGCGGAATGACCGGTATTAGGATGGGGATCGCAAGAGCTTTCGTCAAAGCTTGAGCCAGACCATTTTTCTTGTGGCGCTTCTCAGAAACCGACTTGTGTCTGTGCTGTCCCAAATTCTTCTCCAGGGTCTCGGCACACAAGGCTGGATCAAGAGGGTAGAGGTCGCCCACTTTCAGGACCTTTGAATACCCAGACAAGAAGAGTTGATTTAGCCAGATGAATGCACCTAGCCCGAACAGACCACTTGTCTCTTCTGGGCTGTGCTCTTTCAAGTCCCAGGATATCCACCGCGCCTTGCTCTGCGACTCCAAGAGCAACGATACCGCTTTGAAAGCCAAGGCACACGTATAAACTCTGGAAAACATGATATCTGTCTGATTTCTTGAGGCCAACCACAAAGTCCGGGTCTGTGCAGCGTCGAGTAAAAGCGTTAGAGCAAGATAGAAGCTGAGCAAAATCGCGGGCCTTGGCGACCTTGCATGCTCTAGGAAAGACAAGGCGATGAGTCCCAAACTCGATACGAAGCCCAAAGCTGATGCAGAGACCAGGTATGCTTTGTACACCCCGCCGTTGGCAATGCTCCATGCCAGCAGGATCAATTGCAAGGCGGACAGTACAACAAGCGTGCCCTAAAAATTGGGTTATTTAGCTAAGATGTTTGACAATTGTAGCAGTCTTTTAATTTCATCAGGGCTCCAGCTCACCAATTTCGCAAAGCAGAGTAACGTGGCGCTCACCACCGCTTTTCGATGCCAGAGAACGGTGATGCGAGGTAAGCCGGTAAGAATGAATATCCTTGAACGCAGAAGTCAGTAGGGTCCCGGGATGATGTATGATTTACTTGATAGAGTCCGGTATGACTGACGCTGAGGGTAAGATCGAGAAAAAGATCTTCTCGAATTTCACAGTAAAATCGAACTCTCCACGACAGCCAAGAACGGCCGGCTCGATTGCCTCATCGTTCAGACACCCCGAAAAGTCCATGTTCTGTGGATTATGCAGAGCTTGTTGACATATCAAAAGCCGAAGTCTTTGTGAAGGCGGAGGCGTCTAATTTAAGAACACGTCACGTTCGCATTCTCTCAGAGGAGGCAAAGAAGAGCAGGTGTAGCAATGCCCAAGGTCTTCTTCAATGTTTGCAAATTGTCATCAGCCCGCTGCGAATGTAGGAAAGTCTGTAGCAGTTCACCATTTAAAGTCTTGTAGTTTGGAGCAACCGAGTCTTGATCAGGTCAGATGTGTTAGAGGCGCTTTCAGGAGGTGTGATCCATGTCGACGGGGAGAACCTGATATTACCTAGGTAATCAACAGGATCGGGTCAGCAATTTGGCCGTCCTGCCGTAAAGAGTTAGTCTGCTTTGAGCCTGCCGTGCGCGTCTTGCTCTTATCTCCAAATTAGCTGACACGAGGCCATTCAGCACCACCTAAGTATAGTAGGCAATCTCTATTACCATAACTAAAGCTCAGTCCGTAAAAAGGGCGGTTAGTAGGTTAGCATTTCTCACCAAAACTTCCCCTATAGCCCCACCCACCCTTAATAGTATATTAGTAATACACGCAAATCTTCTACCTGGATACTATCACCAGTTTACACACTTTTATCAAGAGGGGGGTCTCCCCCTGACTTTCCAAGGAGAGAATAACCAGGAAAGATACATCTAGACTTAACACGACTCCTACCTCCGCTAGGAGGCTGCCCGCTTGCGGGCTCTGCGGGGGCTGCCAGAGGAGGCTAGTTGGAAGACTTTTTACTATTTACCGGTGCCGGTAGATTCGGGGCTACTAGTCATGATGAGTCTAGACCTAGCAGTGGCTGCCCATAAATTCAAGGCACAAGTGATTAGTACTCGAGCACGGTCGGCCGACGCAAGAACCCACTGTCTCTTGCGGTCACAGTGCTAATGGTCGTCTCTGGTTTTTACGACGACAGCATAGTTATACTAGTAGTAACTTCCCTCACCGCATTTTAGTCCACAAGTCGAGCCTAGATTGCAACACTGAACCTCAAGTTGCATTCATTGACGATGTAGCAGTCCGTATTTGCACAGCACAGTGTCGAATTGAGATTGGAGCCTGACTCTCAGCCGCTGGGAGGTCAGCAGGTTGTGCAGTGCGAGGCCGGGAAGCCTTTTCGCTATTCAAAAGATTAATACGGGCATGGACGCCTCCCTGATATGCAATCGCCATCACTCCTCTCGAGATGCTCTTGGTGAGACTAAGATGGAAAGAAGAGCGCATGGATTATCTGAGCTCTAAAGAAGTCGACCTCCATCCTCAGGAAGCCCAGGTCCGTAGCATGCCTGAAGATTCTGGCACTAATCACTAAAATGTAATTGTAAAGTATCCTTGGGTGTACACGATACTTGACGAAAAGAGATGAGAGCATCCTGGTAATTTGTATATTATTATGTCCCTTCGCGTTAAAAATTTAAAACATTAGTTCTATAGCATTCCGCAAGCAACATATCAACCAGTCTATAAGCGCAATGGCACATTAGTTGCGGCATCGCTTCCTAGAGGGGATACTAGGGCTAGCCTACCCAAATGGCCCCTTGCTGCTCGTGGGCGCAAAAGTGCAGCAGCCCGCAAGGGGGAAAAGATCTGCAGGAAGTCAAAAATGCGACCTGTCTATATCTAGATCGTCTGACAACACCGTCGTATCTGAGGGTGGGAAGACGCCTTGCAAGTTGATTGTGCACTGCACCACAATCAGCGGCATATCTTGGCAAATGGAGATCCTGGTGATCATCCGACCAGTCGAGCCTGTAGAAAACTCTATACCGGCTATAGGTACAAAGTTACTCTATTCCACGAAGCTGAAGCCTGGATACGTCCTTTCTTTTGGGACGAACTGACACATTCCTCCCAGATCTCGAACGTGGCCATCCAATGGGATGGTGACATTTTGACAATTGAACATCCGTGTACTAAACCAGGAGTGGGTTCGTTTCTACCTTAGGGCAATCCCCATAAATATGAAACGTATGTGGCGCCTTCCAAGAGTTGTGTTAAATCAAAATTAATATCGAGTACTAATATGACTGATGAAACATGGACTGACTTTATTGGACCTTCATGAAATAGCTATCTTTGAGCGTGCTGATACGTTGGATTATACCTATGGTCGCATTGTATCTGACAAGCCCGGACAGGGTATGAGAGATAGGTCTATATATAATGAGAATGGATATTTGTTAGGGCCATGGGCTGAATGTCTGCAGGACCAACCAGTGGGTTCGTGCACTCTGCTTATCTTATCAGCCCAAGTGGCCTCTATACCTCTCGTGATGTGGGATTGTAGCTTCACTACCTCCCCTATACTATTCCTTAGGTAACTCTAGTTTTAAATTAACAATTCTTCACAGACAATTTAAGCCTTCTTTTACTATAGGTTGTAAGGACTGTCTCAATATTTACAGGGTAAAAAACGGATAGTTTAGGGCTAAATTCAGCTAGTATAAAGTAATATTATTATTACTTTTTATTTTATATTATAACCTTATAAGTAACTTTTTTTTAAATTAATAAAAGTATTTTATAATATATTATAAAAAATAGTTATTTAAAGATATTATATATAAAATTTTAACTTTTATATTTATATAATTATAAAATATTATAAAAATAAATATTATTTTATTAAACTAAAATAAAAAATATAATAATAATTTTTAATAATTATATTCCTAATATAGAATATTTATTAAATAGTAATAAATAGTAGAAGATTTTTTTTAAAAAAATATCTATAGATATTACTTATAAAAATTAAAAGAATTAAAAAGTTACTCTATACTATCCGTGTTTTACCCTGTGAATATCCGTTCTCTGTACAATAGGGTACGCTCTACTATGCGGCTTATATCATAGCGGTAAACTTCAGGGAATTCACTGTTTGTTGAAAGGTTGAGAGTACTAAGATGTGACAGGCCGAGTGACCGGGCATGAAATTATCAACGCTTGTCTCCCGCCAGTCCCAGACGTCAACTTGCTGACGGACGACTTGTCAGCCAATTGTGAGCCACGGAATGTTCCACCTATAAACAGCCGTGGCCGAGCTTCAACAGAGACAAACCGGCCAACTTGATTATGAGCGTGCGGCTCAAGGCGGGGCCTTGACAGTGATCGATTTGAGCCTCATTCCCTCCTGTTGCTGTCACATGGATTCAGTTAAAATACGGTGTCAATGCTGACTTTGAGGCTGGTACATAATTTCATTGAAACACAATCCCGATTCGGTGGCTCTGCAGCCGTGCATCAGGAATTTATAGGTGTGGTCCTCTTTTGTGTCGGACGGGAAAACGAGGGAGAAGTACATGGCGGAATTCACAGCGGACAAAACACAACACCGAATCCGGACAATTCTCGAAGCATCTCAATATGTTTGACCACAATTTCCTGCATGACAAAGGGAACACGATCGAGAAGGTTGACACGACGACAGGAATTCAGTCTTTCGATTCCTGCATCAGTACAGAACAACCTTCTCGTTGGCCGCCCTTAGCCGCGTGTAAGAAAAAGGACAAAGGCGGAGGATGGGTGGTTGGAGGGCTTTCGTTGGAGCAGCTCAGGTGGCTTCCCCAACACTGAACACTAGCTGCCAGCCATCTATAATTGCCATAAGACCTTCTCATAAAGAGTCAGGGCATCAGCATCAAAGCTGGTCAAGAGAAATCACAATACAACCACTGTCCCCAAGAAGGAAACATCGACAACCATGGCTTCGATAAATGAGAATCTTGTTGCTGCGGGGGATTTACCGTATTATAAGGCTGCTACGGTGGCTGGACTAAAAGACCAGCTACGAGAGAACAATCTCCCCATAGACGGCCGGAAATACGATCTCTACCTACGTCTGCGTGATGCTGGGATCCTTATGTATACTGACGGCAGAGCTGATTACGATCCCGACGACCCACCTGGCATCGAACAAGACGCCAACATAGATGATGACTTCGGCGACGATGAAGATGAGACGAGGAGGAGGAGAGGACGACGAGCTGGACGAGGAAGAGGAAGAGGAAACGGGAGGGCCGGAGGCAATGGGGGAGGCAATGGAGGAGGCGGTGGCAGAAGACTAAAACGATCTAGAGACGACGGTGACGACGACGACGATGGTGACAGTGATGGCGACGGTAACAATGATGGTGACCAAGGGCCGCCAAGAAAAAGGGCGAGGCTGGTCGGCAATGTCCTCCCAGCTGAACTCCAAGTTCAACTGATCACAACACTGCACCCCTCAGCACTGTGGAACTTGATAACGGCAGCCCCAGAGGCATACTTGAGCAATGATCCAAATGGTTTCAATGCGCTCCTGGCGGAATCAAACTACCAGCGCACTCGCGACTACCCTGATATTCCACAGTAAATCTCACCTACGCTTTTCGCGATTCTGCCTGGCACAGAACAAGGCTGACATATGACTTCTTAGACCACCCGGTGCAGCAGCACTGATCCCGGCCTTGAACCGTCGTCCCTTGTCCCTGTTGGAATGGGTCGGGAGGCGGGTCTTAGCTGATACCCGTTTCCGGACCACCAACCGCACGCGCATCAGGCGGGTCATCGACTCCTACCTGTCGGCGTACCCAGCCGCCGACCCACCAGCCGGAGCGAGCCCGGCAAACAACCCACGTAACGCCATCTTGTATTATTTCCGAGACCGCGCCGACCTCGCGGGCCAGATCAGCGTCATCGGACGCGCAGCTGCTCTCGGCGAGGTGCACATTGTGCACCTCCTTATCGCGTACGGTGCAGACGTGAACGAGGTGGTGAACGGCAGGACCGCCATTGACGAGGCTGCGGTCGATCTTTCAACTGACCCACGCCGCTTGCAATCTATCTTTGCTCTACTCGGGGCTGGTGCCAGTCTGGATAACCTGGACCCTGAAACATTGGACGAGGTTGTTCTCATGATGCAGGCCGTGAGTGGCGACCCTGGATGGGAAGGCGAAGGCTACGAATGGCCCAGGGTCGACAACCTCCTGGCATTGTCCGCCCGGGAGTTCCTCGCCGACGAGCGCTCTCCCAGCGACGACAGGAAGTTAGTGGCAATGTTTATGCTTTGGGAGGGACACGACAACTATCCGTCCTTCCTTTGATGGCCAACTAGGTACTTGTGCTCGCAATGCTGCAACTGGTCGAATTCGAAGTGACGGTTGTCCTGCTGGAAACCCCCACCAGTGCAATATTCGGGGGATGGACGCCAAGGGGATGTGACTGATTAGGGCAGAGGCGTGTCAATAACCAGCAACTTGGTTTCCGCTGATTTGGATTCCTGTATTTGACTTGCCTGGGGATTATTTGATCGTGATCGTGGATAGATGTTTCCACTTCTTCGAACTGATAGTCAATGAATGCTTGCTGCAAATAAGGCTTTGACGTTCCATGATCTCCGCTATTCCCACAGCTTTCAATGTTCCTTAGTGAAGTATGCTTTCACAGCGATTCAGTTCATTCCTACATCTTCTTTGAAGCGTTTGCATCATATATTCTTGCATCGCAGAGAATCATCTTATCCCCTGTTTAAATATCCGCACTCACTGTATGAAAACGCCGTATTTGGCATCGAATGTGTACGGATTAGAAGTGAAACCAGTCAAATACGTACAATGGCAGCCTTGTCCCCTTCCACGGAACCGTCTTCACACGGAGGCCTGCTCTGACAGGATTGCCTCGTTCCACTGCCCAACCCCAAAACTTCAGTCTCAGCGAGAACGAATTCCTCACACCTAACTCACCGTCAAGTTTCCAGGCAGAGTTTCCAGCCCTGTGTCAACAGTGTCAGCAACATTAGTCTTTCTCAGCGCATGGCGCAGTAATTACTCACAACCGTCGACGGACTCGGTAACAATAGGCTCCTGGGTACACTTGTTCCCCACCGAAAATCCCTGTGTCTGGAGCTCCGTGCAACCCGTAAAGTCACACCGCGCGTCCATGGCGCGCTGCAGTGAGTCACCCTTCCACCCAAAGAGGTAGTCGGCGTGGTGCCCGTACCCGGTCGGGTCCCCCTGGGCCCACACGAACGGCTGGCTGCCGTCCTCGGGCCACTCGGACTGCGGAAACACGCCGGTGTCCCAGACCGTCTCGAAGAAGACCTGTGGAAGGCGGACTGGGTGCGAGGATGGGCATCCGTTGTAGCCAAACGTGACGTGGGACTTGTGGTCGGCGCTGTCGAGGTTGACTCCATCCCAGCAGCTGGGCCATGGCTGCGTTAGTTACTAGTCTTCTTGTGCGTATGCCTATGTACACCCGTGCATGAAGAGCGCACTGCGTGTGCACGTTGCCGGTACTCACGTTGGGAAGAAGATGGCTACTCTCACGCCACCAGCGCAGTAACCAGCAGGGAATGTAGATGTATCGTTGTCGGATACCCCAAAAGGATTCGGCTCGAAGTTTTTGCCGGTGTAGCAACGATACGAGTTCATCCCGCCGCCGAAACCCTGCTTACGGCTGGCAGGGTCTCCCACGACCATGCGGAAGCCTGGAGCGAATGCTGTAATGTTGACACTTGTGTCGTCGGGTGTCACGTAGTAGACGGTCATGCCGCCGTTCTAGATCGTTATTAGACAAGGGCTCCAACCCGGCACGGATGCCGACGTAGGGGTTCCTCCAAGGGAGCATAGTGAAAGGCACTCACGGCGCCGTTGAATCCCTGGTTGGCCATCTGTGGAACGCGCTTGAAGGTCCCGTTGCGGGCTCGAAAGTACATGGCTGGTGTCCAGTAGTCTGAGAAGTCTTCGGAGAAAGTGCATGTCGTGCAAGAGGATTCGGCAGGGATGTCGAGTGATGGGTCCATCGTAACGTTGAAAGCATTCTAATTCTTGTAAGCGTCACACCCGTTCTCAAGTTAAGGTTCCAATTGCTTACACCTCCAACAATCTGATCAACACACGTCAGTCATTTCTCGGGGTATGTCACTGTGTAGGTCATCGGGGCATACCTGGTGGACGTGCTGAGACGGATTCTGTCCGGGCTGGACTACGCTGATGGGATTGTTAGATTTCGGGAGGACTTGAGCTCTAGTCACACAGCACTCACGGGTCAAGACGCTGTGTTACCAGCTGCGAACAAGAGAATCGAAGCTGTCGCGTCGGGATTAGCCTATGCTTCGCGCGGGCGGCTTCAGGGCCGAAGCACTTGCCATCTTGTCGGCCTGTGCGACCGTTGCGCACAAGGCAATGGTAAAAACATGGCTGTAAAACATGTTGAGCGAGTGACGGAATGGAAATTTCAGTAGAACGAGAGGCTACGAAGTTGAATGAAGAGAGAGATCGTAAACAGATGTTAGGAACGCCGGGCGGACACTGCTGGTCAAATAGGGCTCAAGTCAAAGTCGGCCTTTCTTATATCCTCTACTACCCACTTTTCCTGCAACTCCAATAAGGGGCCCCTAATTACCATGTCGCACTAAATATAGAAGAAAGGTACTTTCACTTAAAAGTATCCAACACTTTATTTTAGATTGAAGTAACTGTTGCTATAGAAATTCAACTTTAAATTCAACTTTAAATTTAATAAATTCAACCTTAACTTTAAGGCAACAGCCTTTAGCTGGAGGACTAGAGGGGCTCCGCTCGGAAGGGTTGGTTACTAATGGCTATACGTCCCCTATCGGGGCCGTCCGCTCTACAACTAGTACTCTTAAGGAGAGAAGAGGGGGGAGAGAGAGAGAGAGAGAGAGGGGGTGAAATAGTGGTTTTTAGTGATTTTTAGTGGTAGAAACGAAGAGAAGAGGAGGAAGTAGAAGTTAAGAGATAGCCTTAGGGTCTTCCCGCCTTACTTACTATATAAAATCCCCAAGTAATCTCTTAGTAATAATAAAGATTTTTTAGATATGTCAAGACTAGTCAATAAAAATAAATAATAAAAATAGAGTATTTAAAGGAATGAAAGAGTTAGTGATAGCCTTAAAAAGGAGGTATATTCGCCTTCCCGTTTACTAAGTATACTCTATACTGGATTTAGGTGGTGTAAGTACTTAAAGTAGGGAGGTCCTGGTGATTAGAAGGGTTTCTGGTAGTAGAGGATATAAGAGTACCCGTCAAAGTCGATGGTTCGAGTCTACTGCTGGGTGGTTTCCAGTCGTCAATGACATTTCTGCACCTAAACTGTCCAGTGATCATCCGCCCCGCCCTCTGTTTCGAAACATCCAGTATTGATTATCACCCAGGATCAAACCCCGCTGGCTGACTTAGATCCGGCGGAAAATAAATGCCGGGGAGGGACAAGAACAAGAGATATTGTTCCGAAGTTACAGGACGAACCGCTCCAAGTCGGCAGGTCAAATTTTGACCGAAGAATCAACATAAAACCCGGCCCTGAGTCTGCTAGACTGGGATCCAAACTCTCGGTCCGCTTATATAATAACTGTCTTCATCAGTCTAACAAACCCGCGGTATATCACGGTATATCAGACTATAACGCAGCTAACTGTTTCGATGGACGGATGAACAGGCAGTACTTAATATGATACACTTTAGTCGCCAACCAGTAGGCATGCTTCCCTCAGCTGAAAGGGGGCACGCCAAGAGAACAAGCACGCTTCAGCTAGACTAACGACCCTCTCCCGCTGAGATAAAAAATCAGCATCCCTGTACTCATTTGAACATGCCTTGAGCACGGGGACCTTTACGTCCATTGATCCCAGAAACGCATCGGATCACATGATCCAAGAGAGAATCTTATTTCCCTCTTCAGAGGCTGCGCCAAACATATGAGGACCAGGCCATATGTTCACTTCAGCCAGTGATTTATGTACATGTACAACAAATAGTAATTACATGGCGAAGAGCACTTTACATGCGCTGTACATCATTTCTGGGCTGACCTCGTGGTGACTAACAGCCTCAGACATTATGTCTGGACGGCAGCTGGATCATTCACTGTCTTCCACTTAGAAGAATAATTCATGCAGGTTTAATTCGACAAGGAATTAGATTCGGGGTCGAAGCAAATACTTCAATTTATTTGTACGCCAACTTACCTGGTATCAAGAATCCCACCAACAACATGCATCCCGATTTAAAATACTGGAACAGCGGAAGGAAGCTGTCGAGGAGCCCAAAAGCTCTTCAAATTCCAGCGTATCCCGAGCCATCAGAAGGCGAAGGCGACGCCGGCGCCAAAGCAACGCCATAACTCCCATCCCCATTGCACTCAACCTTGTCACCGCTCACAACGTACTCGCCCTTACAAGCAGCCACAAATTCAAGCGAGCCAACATCCATGGACCAGCTGCTGGCCGCCGTAGACGGAACCAGCCTCGCACGTCTCATTTTCGTTCTCGTTCATGGGCTGTCCTTGCCGCTGATAAAAGCGCCGGTAGCAAGAGGGGCCGCGTTTCCATTCGGAACCGTCGCGATCACAAAGCGGCGCTTTGAATGGCCGGGCGCCAGTGGAGGAGCCTCAGGGACGATGGGGCCAATTGGTCCGATGGAACCGGAGGAGGTGTTGGGCAGGTTACTCGGCGACCATGCATTGGTGTTGCACTGCTCCAGGTGGCGTAGGTGGACGACAGACAGCACGATGAGGCCCGCCAGGAGGCCCGCCGACAACAGCGCCAGTATGATGGTGGCGATGAGGTATTTCTTGCGCTGCATGGACTTGAGCTCGACCTCCCGGACAAGCTGGCGCTCAGCATCGATGGACTGCATCATATTTCTCGATGGTGCAGTGAATTCGAATGTAAATACGTGTCTCAGGTGATTTTTTGATGGTATTGAGTTTCCGGTTGCAGGGTTTTGTGGGTGATGAGGTGTTTGATGAGGATGTAAACGGTGATTCGGATTCTAATTCTCCTTCATATTTATATGTGGGACTCAGAAATCTAGTCACAATGCTATTATACAACCCGGCGAAAGCCGGTCTAAAGAACAATAGTGTTGTTTCTCAGCAGAATCCAAATTCCCTCTTACAAAGGGGCTTTGATTTGTTTCGGGACAACAATGCTGCTATCACGTGGTGCTTTGAAGTCTAGCATTGTCAGCGTCAAGACTCGAATCAACAAAGCATAGGCCCTCAGATGCTTGTGTATGACATTTCCAGGTCGAAACACGCAAAAAGACTCCAGACTTGGATTTGTTCGGGCAAACTTGATCAAAGCCTTCTAAAGTTCGTAATTCTGTACTCCCATTCTTTACAGCCTGAAAGCCAACTGATCACGACAAGACGGAATCATATGCAGTAACCCAATTAGTTCAAACCTTCCCAACCACAATATCCTCCTCCAAATACAAATTGTGCATCATATAATCATACTGCTCCAGTCCCTGATCGGGTTCCGGAACATGTAGGCCATTATACTCAGCGAATAGCGTCTCATTCAAACGCTTGACCCAGACAGCTGTATCTCCGGGATTCAACGGCCCGGCCGAGACGACAATATGACCGCTCTTCAGCACATATGAGCCTCCTTCTCCAAGCGTACTATTGGCGTCCTGATGCTGCATGAGGTTTTTGCCAGGTTCTGGCACTTTTCCAGCCTTGGTGTACTCATTTCCATCGTTCATGCACGACGAGCTGGGGGTATCGCACCAGGTAATGTTACCTGCATTGGCGAATACAATGCTGAAAGCGCACGGCGCCGTGCCGTTGCAGCCGGTGCCTTTGAAGGTGCCTTGTGAGTTATAGAACTGGCGGATGACTTGGCTCTGAGCTAGTTCGTTCATTAGACGGCATCAAGTATATCGCGACGAGACTGGCATAGATAGTGCTGGTGTCTTGAATCGGCGTGGGTGTTGAAGGACACACCGTTATTGTACCCGTTCTTGACACATCGGTTGACCTGACCACCTGCATCGGCTTCCCTCACAGACTTGAAAGGGTATTCATCGCACTGGTATTCTCCTCTTGGATACGGGCTCTTGTTGCAGCGATTATCGGACCCGCAACCTGCTTTGGCGCTACGCTGAGCTCCTATGATGGTTGAGGGCTTGTCCCAAGTGAAGGTCGCACCCCACTTCTGACAAAATGCACCTAAGGTGGGACCTGGTCAATATGTTGACTGCTCAACAGGTACCCAGATGGCTTTGATTTCAAAAGACTTTGGACACAATGAATCACCGTAACACATGTTATCGCAAACGTCTGTGTAACTAAGACTGATCAGCTTCATCAACTCGGACGGAAAGGAGAGAAGGACTCCGCCAAGAACCAAAGAGCAATATACCGCCGAGAGATTTATGGTCACAATCGAAGATCATCTTGTGGCTCGACGATGCTACTATCATAGACACAAGCAACAACGCTGTGATTGCGGTTATAAAAGTGGTCTGCATCTTGACGTAGTATTGGCTAAAGAGTAGTTTGATCAGTGAAAATAGAATGTAGTTAGTAGTCGTATATGGCTTCAGATGTGTACAGAACAGAAGTAAAACCGGGTAGTGATGGTCTTAGCCCTGAGTTGAAAATGATGTGAACTTTGGAATACCGAAAATCTACTGGTGGTGTGCAATACGTACCATCTTTATATCCAGTTCCTCTAATATCACTCAGCAATATTGGGACCCGCTGCGCAAGGCCAAGCCGACTGATGTCTCTCAAAAGTTTTGGCGAAGGATCACTGTTTCATCTGTGACCCGATTCTGAATCATCGCGGCCATTTTCCGTTGCAGAAGATCACCGCCCTCGGCCTAAAGTTGCATTTGTTGTCGCATTTCGAATAAGCGCTAATATGAGTCGGCCTCAAGATGTAGAGCGATCCAAAATGGAAAAGTTGACAGAAATTGAAAAGAAAACAAAGACGAACTGAGTCAATAAGCTCTTGTACCATATGTAGTAAGTACTTAAGTAGGTATGCAGGTCTTGGAGAATACTGGCAATCCCTCAACTAGGCACCAATAGCAGTCCGGTTCCGAAAATGCACCAGAAATGAAGAAGGGTAGTTGAAGTGTCCCCCGTCTTCAAGTTCTGCCTTGTCTCGGTCCAGGCTCAGACTGCTCCGCGTTCATTACCTAACTTCTCCGTACAATTATCACCCACACACACGGCTCGGTTGATAGATGATGTAAAGGCCATGCGGAAAATGGAGTCATGGCCTCAGCTTATTGGGTCTTTCACCTTTCCACCAGCTCCCTGCACCACGGGAAACCAAAGCACTTCTCCATTCCCACGTCGCACTCCTTCGAGAACGGATGATGCACGCCCGCAAGCAAAAGGACATCAAAAGCCCCGGGGACCTCACCACCTCACCACCGCTGGCTACTACATAGGCGCCCTATCCTAGGTACCTAGGTAGGCAGCCAGCCCCCCCACCCTTCCGCAACAACGGCACCATCCCTCCTCTCCCAGCCGACCCACGCCCCCGAGCCGGGCCAGCACAGCAACGACAACCGGGCCGACGCAGCCTTCGCAGTCTACCTACACCCTCACCGGCACCGGCACCGGCACCGGCGCCACGGCCCCGCCCGACCAAGTCGCCCCCGCCCTCGAGGAGCAGTGGCGGCAGCAGAATGACAACGAGACAACCCGCCTCGTGAGGCCCGCACCCGCTGCCTCCCCTGCCCCCAGGACGCTCACGGAGGTCGTCCACACTGGCCAAGGTTCAGCAACCGCGCGGGGACACCGGCAGCGCGGCGGGCGATCTGATTTGGGGTGGCCGATGGCGTTCATCGTCGTCGTCCCCGGGTGGTGGGGGGGGGGGGCTGGGACACGAGGCCTGGGGGGCTGCTGTTCGTGCTCGCGGGCAACGGGCGGGGTTGTGTGCTGGATGGGTTCTTCGTCAGGCTGGAGGAAGCGTACGTGATGCTTTCGAGCCTGGGATTTGGGGATCAGGGGTTGGCCAGGGCTGAGGAGATTTATGGACGGGAACCTCAGAGTTGAATGTGTGGTTGTGGCGAGAATGGGAGCACTTAACGGTGGGGGTGGGGGGTTCGGCACGAAATGCCTACCTGGGGGAGGCATTGCTTGTGATAGCTGCGAAAGTAATGATGTGTCTTTTCCGTCCGACTAGGTGTATACATAATTACCCAAAGCCCCCGTCCCATCCTGTCCTTCCCAGCATCATTGACACTCATGCCCCAAAATGGCCACACACACACAACCACTGCAAATATCTAAACTACAAATGTTGAACTCGCCCAATCCTGACCAACTCCAGTAGTATATCACAACATACCCCAACAAGAAAAACATGTCTATCATATCGGCACGAAAGAAACAACAGCCCAGAATCCCCTTTTCAGTCAAAACGAAGCAGGTAGGGTCTGGTCGTGCGTGCTGCGTAAATGCAGACCATGAGAAGCAAATGTCCCAGGAGGAAGGGAGTGCGTGGTCTCCAGGAAGAATTGGTTGTGTCCACCGAATATAAATGCAATATTGAGCCCCAGGTCCAACTCATCCAAAAGTTCATGCTGCGTGCCAAGATATGCCTTCCCCAGTACCTGCTGGTCGGCCCGTCGGGCCCATAGACCAGCCGCGCCAAAAGAGCCGCCTAGATCAACAGTCGAGTATGTGTCCATATTTCAGATCTTTGAAAAAAGCCACAGACCAGATCAAGACCACCAGAACGACAAATTAACATCTTTTCATCATAAAACATCATGCACATATATCTCAATAAGATCCCCGCTCCTCAGTCGATCGTCTTGCCCCCACAGTCAGGGATCTTGACGCCGCTCTTGAGGTTGCGGTTGACGTCCATCAGGCCCCAGTGGTCCTCCCAGTTCTGGCCGCCCGAGTTGAACTGGATCTTCCAGGGCTCGTCGAAGCTCTCGAACCAGAAGTAGTTGGTGCCGTTGGCGAGGGCCTGGCACACCCACCCCTCCATGAACGTGTTCATCTCGTCGATGCCGGCGACCGACGCGTTGGGGCAGTCCGTGATCGCGGTGGTGCCGCAGTCCGTGCCGCCCTGCGACGGCCAGCCCGTCTCGGCGATGATATTCTTGCTGATGTCGGACTTCCAGAACCCGCCGTTCTGGTTCGACCAGAACGAGTAGGTCCACGACGCCGCGTCCTTGGCGTTGACGCCCGCGAAGAAGGGGTGGATGTTGGACATGATGTAGTCGCTCATCTGCGCCAGCTCGGACGTCCAGTCGTCACCCAGGTCCGACGTCGCCACCGGGAGCGACATCTGCCTGCTGGTGAGGTTGGTGCGCACCTCGGAGAGAAGCGAGCCGAGCTCCGAGGCCGTCATCTGTTCACGGAAGAGGATCTCGTTGGCGACGATGAGGCCCTTGAAGGGGGTCTCCCCGTACTCGTCCAAGATGTCCCACATCTGACTGAGCTGCCGCTCGTTGGTGGTGGTGTTACCGTCCTGCCAAACACCCAGCCAGATCTTGACGGTGTCCTTGAGCTCGAGTTGGTTGACGGCGTGAATGAGCATCTGCGTCTGGTTGCAGTCCGTTCCGTATAGTCGAATGGTGTTTGTCAGCTGAGACAGCACGGCCACGTCGCGGGTGACGTTGTTTTGCGATGGTGGGTTATGCATGCAATCGGGGTATTGCGTGTTGAGAGGCGTGTAGTCGATGCCGGGGAACACCTTGTGCAAGTTCGCGTTGTTCATGAGCTTCTTGATCTCGGCGCTGTTGATGTTGAGGTCGCCATTGTCCGCTGTGTCGTCGGCTGCCGATTTGCCGGGGGGTGCAGAGCCGGCACCCCTATTCCGGAAGATGCCAAAGTAGACGCCCAGTCCGATGCCAGCGGCGACCAGCACCAGAACGCCAGCGATGATCAGCCATCTCAACTTCTTGGAGCTGGTGCTCTGTTTCTCAAGCCACGCAGACTTCTCAGGGCCGGCGCCGAGGTCATACGTGCTGCCGCCGGCGCCCTGGTACCCAGTGTTCCCGTTGACGGCGTCATAGTGGCCATTTCCATCTCGACTGGCGCCGTTCTTGCCGACGAGGCCACCGATGGCCCCCATCACGCCAGCTCCGGCTGCTGCCCCACCTGCTGCTGCCGCCCCGGCACCGTTCTGGGTGCTCTTACCGCTCGAGTGACCGAGACTCAGCATACTATGCCGGGCCCCTCTCTGATTATACTCGAGTCCGTCGTCGCCATCGTCAAGGATCTCGTTCGGGTCCACGGTGCCCAAGTTAGCGCGGCTGTGTACCGAGTAGCCCTGGTATGGGTCGTCTCGGTAGGGACCTGGTGCATAGCCCGGGCTTCTCGACCTGTAGCCCGGGGAAGACTGGGCCATTGGAACTGCAGCAGCATTGAGCCCTTGCAAGCTGGAGTGTGAGGCGCGGTCACCGGCGTCGCCAGCGTAGGCCGTTGGGCCTGGCCGCAGACTCGCTTGTGGGTCATGCATGGGGTAGTCGTTGTTTCCCCTCCCGTAGCCGTAAGGGTCATGTGTTTGGTATGTCTGTTGGGGGTAGTTGGGGCCTCTCATGGCCTCGAGACCACTCTCTCTTGGGTTTTGTTCTGCTACACCGTAAGCAATGCCCGCGACTCCGCCGGCCGCCGCTTCACTAAAGTTGTCCGCACCTGGGGTGATGTTGCTCTGCGGGGGAGCATAGTATTCCGGGTCGGGCCTCCACTGGCCCTGGGCTTGTGGGGGCACATGCGATTGTGAGTAACCCTGGGGCGACAACGAGGCGGCGCCAGCGCCAGCCCCGAGCCCTGCGGCAGCGCCGGCGGCCATGTAGGGCGTCCGACTCGAGTTTGGTGGCATGCCCTCTCGACTTGACCTCCTGTTTGCGCGCATCTCGGTAAAGGCCGAGTCTGGGTGGGCGGCTGGCATTGGCTGTCGACCTGGCGAGTCGTCGTAACGAGGCTGCTCGTAGCGTCTCGAGCCGGCGGCGGGGGGATACTGGGACATGTTGGGTTGCGTCTGCTGGTGATGCAGTGGTGGATGATCGGAGGAAGAGCCGGCGTTGAAGGCCTCCCTTTCGTCGCCTTCAGACTCGAAAGAGTATCGAGGCATGCTGTCGGAGATTGAGGATCACAATTTCAGGAATAGACAAAGTGTCTCAGAGCAAAGAGCGACCTTCCCTGGCGGATCAGCAGACAATGGGGTCTGCCAGCAACGGGGGCGGGCGGGAGTGTTTGCCAGTCAGAGGCGGGAGTTTGAATCAGGACTAGGAATAGACTGGAGCAGCGTGTCGGAGATTGAGAGAGCGCTGCAACCACGAACCAGGAGGGCCGCGGTGTGGTAAATTGGGCCGAGGGAGAAAGCAGCCGGCAGCAGAGGGCAGAAAGGGAGCGGCCTCTGCTTGGCGGGTCGACGGCGCGAGGGAGGCCTGGCAGCCTGGGAGGGCAATTAACTGCGACAATTTCCAGGCTGTCTTTTTTTGTCTCTGCCTCGCCCTCGCAGTCTGCGGCGAGCGCCCAGGATGTCGGGTCTGTCCCTGTCGCCGTTCGTGTTTGGACTTGCTAACCCCGACGGCGTCTTTTGCAGGCTCAGCGCAATCCGAGTGCAAGCACTGGCCGTGCCAGCCCTGTCTATACTTATGCTTAATGAGTGGGTCGGGCAGAGTCGAGCGAGAAGCAGCACGATGGGTCAGACCGTTGGTTGGCCTGTGTGTGGGCCGAGAGAGTGCGTGCAAGGAGCGAAGCAAACGGGTAAGATACACAGTAAGCAAATGTAGGCAGTGGCAGGAAGAAAAGGGAAGAAAGCGAAAAAGAAGCAATCTGCCAGACAGACAACAAGACCGATCGACCGACCGACAGGTGGTCAGACACACGACCTGGGGGACAAACAAGGTCGGCCGGGCAAAGTGATGACCTCGTTGTCGGCCCTTTCGTATTCTTGGAAACAGGAAACATGCGAATTGGCTGATTGGGGAGGGGCATGGTTGGGATGGCTGGGATTTGTGGATTCTGGACTCCCCAGGGGCCTGTGAGGTTGGGGCCTTGCCTGGCAAGCCTGGCCCCAAGCCCCCCAGCCCCCCTCAGGCAGTTCAGGGTGGCTAGTGCTGCAACAAAGGGTGAGCTCCTGGCAGCTGGGTAGGGGTCCCCCCCACATCCTGGCCCCCGACCGTCGTCCTGATTGGAGGCTTTGTCCAGCTGGCCCCACTCGTCTCCCGGCGACCAAAGATGGAGGGTCTCTCTGGCCCTTGGCCCCTGCCTGGTACACATGACGAGAGGTGGCCATTGTTTATTACTTTTGTGTTCGATATTCGATTGCAGTGCAGGCAGGCTGGCAGGCAGGCTGGCAGTATCATCCTCGACTTTCATCAGATTGGAAAGTAAACAAGACGTCAGTTGCTCACGACGACATCAAACCTGCTGAGGAGACTGATGCTTACTCATCATCCAGCACCATTTCTGTCTCAGACTCTCCCAGTCGATCCCTCGTATTCAACGGGCCGAGGGCCTACTAATACCAACTGTATTTGACCCAACACCTCTCACGAGCTAAGAACCGCCACCAGCGGACCGAATTCTCGACCCAGCCCCGACTGCCCGACCGTTGCAAGGCGAACCAGCCTGCTGGATCCCTCCAAGCAGCGAGGGAGCACGCGACGGGCGTCTTGCCAAAGAAAATTAAAAATTGCCTCAGTCTAGAAGGGCGACGACGGCGACGACGGCGACGAGTCGACGACAGTTGCTCGGCCGTGTCTGTGCCATGAGCCTCAAACACCCAAGGCTTATTTTAGACCACACAGCCGGCGCCTGCGGGGAGGCGGCCAAGGCCCACTCCAGCTGGAGAGTGGACACGACCTCGCCTACCTCGCCTTGCCGAAAAGAGGAAAAAACAAGAGTTTAGCGCCGACCTGGGCATTCATGCGGGCCAGGGGTCCGCTTGCAGTGCCGTGCCCACTCCGTAATACTCCGTACTGGCCGACACCGTCTGACAGTGTGTGTGCCAAAGGAGAGCTGGGCCGTGGCAGCAGCTAGTCTAGATCAGCCGTGACGTTTGGGTGTTTCTTTGCGGTGAGCATGTGGTTCATCTCAAGTATGGAGTACAAATCAATGCTGGCTGACCATGGACTCCATCGAGACCTCATGAAACCGATCCAGGTTTGACAGTGACATCATCACACCGCCGACAGCCAGAGGTCACAGCAACAGCCTGCCAGCCCTGCATCACCATCCATCAGACGAGCGAGTGACAATTGCCGTGCCGGCGTGATCGACTCGCATCGTGTAGATGCCGGATGCCGTCCCTCAGGCGACACGGGGCAGCCCCCCGGCCGGCAGCAGCACCTGCTTGTCCTTCCGGATCCTCCTGATCACGCCCACGTCCACGTTGAGCGCCTGCGCCGCCATCTCGGGCGGCGTCAGCGCCAGCCACTGCGCCAGCGAGATGTCCTGGACCCTCCCCGCCCGGAACACCTCCAGGTACGTGAGCCCCGAGTCCGCCGACGTGTTCTCCACGTAGTGGCCCGACCCCGCCGGGAACGCCGCCGTGTCGCCCGCCGAGAAGTCGAACGTCCGCGCGTTGCCGTCGCCCGTGAACACCGTCGCCCGCCCTGTGCCTTGGTGGAAGTACAGCCACTCTTCTGCCTGTGTGTGTGCCTGTCAGTTCTCTCGTTGTTCTTGGAAATACACACATGTACTTCCGTGTGCGTGTTTGTTTGTTCGTGCCGGGTGGCCAGGATGGGTATGGTATGGTAGGGGTAGGGCAGGGTAGGGCAGGGTAGGGGAGGCCCCCGTGGAACTCACATCCGGGTGCCAGTGCATCTCCCTCATCGCCCCCGGGGCAAGCGTCACCAGCGCTGCGGCGATGGTCGTGCTCCGCGGGAAGTTCGTCGAGTCCACCTTGTACAGCGAACCACCACCCCCAGGCGCCTGGATCGGGGGCTGCTGCAACGTGCGGAACACGAACGACTCCGTCCCGCCCGCCGGCTGCTCACCGGGCCCGGCCGAGACACCACGGTCCGCATCGCTCTCCCCCGCCGTGCCGTTGAGGATCCCCGGGCTCGGCCGGGGCACCCCGTCAAAGACGGCGGGGTCGAGACCAAAGTTCTTAGCGAGCACATCTCGCGGTGTATGAGCCACCCAGTCGTCCACGTTGAACGTCGAGCCGGCGGCGTCCGTGTCGGGCCCGTCAAACACCAGCAGGAACTCGTTCTGCTCCGCCATCCCCTGCACCGTGTGCGCCACCCCGCGCGGAAAGTACCAGATGTCCCCGAAGCCGAGCGTCTCGGCCTGGTAGCCGCCGTCCTGGTCCACCGCCGACACCAGCACGCTCCCGTTGTACACGAACCCCCACTCCGCCGTGTTGTGCCAGTGCGGCTCGCGGATCGCCCCCATCGCGAGGTGCTGCTGCGCCGCCGAGATGTCGTGGCTCGCCGGCAGGTCCGTGATGCTCTGCCTGCGCGTCCAGCCGCCCTGCGAGAGCCGCGTCCTCGACTGCGAGAAGCTCCATTTCAGGTTCGGCACCGTGCCGCCGTCGGTGGGCTGCTGGCCCAGGTTGGACGGGTTCTGGAGGTCCAGCTGGTGGTTGGTGGCTCCCAGGATCCGGCCTCCCCTGCCCGCCCCGTCGATCGGCTGGCCTGTGTCGAACTGAGGCCGATCTCGTTTCGATATCGGACCGGCATCGTCTTGGTAGTGCAACGGTAGCGATCGGCCTGTTTCCACCTGCGCCCAGAACAGCAGGTCAAGTAACAGCCGGATTCGCCTGTGTCTCATGGCTGTCCAATATCGATTGTACACAATGCCTCAGCTAGGCGGCGGGTGGGCAGACGCGTCTCGAAACTGAGGGGGGGAGCGATTGTGTGCGGAGTAAAGGGCATGTGCCTGCTGAAGTATGACATCGCCCTCGCCAGCTGGACATGCTCGTTCCCGTTGGGCCAGAGAGGTTGCTGATATCTAACTTTGTGAGGTTGGATCATCCTGCCTCTTGCACGACCGGGTAACCCGCCGAACTCTGTGTGGTGAATCATCGGACAATCCAATCCTGGCCCTCCTCTGTCTACTTCCCTGCGGCAAAAGCTTGGTGATGGAATCAAACAAACGTCTTCTTCGTGTCATGGGCGGCCGTGATAAGCCAACCGTGTGTGTGTCTGTCAAGCTGTCGACGTCTAAATTTGGGGGGTGCAATCAATCCGGGTTCTTCGGTGCTTTGTCTGACTTCATCTCGACTTTTGAACCGTGCTCCTCGAGTCTATTCCGGGGCCCGGGTGTGTCACAGCGGAACCAGCTCAGGCCCGTACGATTCCGCTCGTGAGGGGAAGCTGACAGTTCAGCCGATCATCAGATGAGGGCGGGCTGAGGATATCGTCAGCCAGCCACATGGGTTGCTTGTCCTCGAGGTCTGGAACTTTGGAGCGGTGAGCCGTGATCACAGAGTGTGTATTCAGTCTGCAGTTGTGTGGAAGTTCCGCAGGTGTGACTGTCCCGTAAATTATTAAGACTCCCTGCATGTGCTTTCGTTTCTAGTTGGTCGTGCATACCTAGGTATGAAGTCTACACGGTCCCGTCATATAGCAAGACATTCATACCCTGACATATTAGGTAGGTAAGGTGACCTCCGTCACCACAACCAACACCCATCCTCCACGCACGCACATCAGCCCTCGCGTTCGGGATCGGCCCAATCCGTGCCCACGCACCCTGCAACCACGAGCGCCACCCGTCCACCTCTGCCTGCGCGACCCTCTCCCGCAAGAATATCCGCACCACCGCCATGAACCCGGGCTCCACCGCGACCAGATCACCCCCCACGGCGCCCGCCCCGAGCGCAACCTCCATCTCCGCGGCGACCGCATCGTCGGCACGCGCGAGGCGGAGGTGCCCCGCGAGGTGCAGCAGCAGCTCCCCGAAGTTCTTCCGCCTGTGGTCATCCCACCCCCCCCGGGGCCTGCCCAGCAGCGTGGTGGCGTCCTGCGCCCCGGCGGGGAGGCGTGCCCGCCCGAGCGTCGTGGCCAGCAGGTACAGCTCGACGGCGCAGCGCGTCGCGGCCCGGGGTCACTTCCTGCAGTGCCGCGGCCGAGATCTCGGCGGGGCCGGGGGTGTTGTGGCGCCCCGCACCGTTGGCCAGCATGGAGTCGAGGGTCCTGAGGCTTGTGAGTTGAGCTCGGGGCTGGATTTGGCCTGGTGGTCGCCTGCGGGCTGGGGTGTGCTGTGGACGTAGAAGTCGACCCAGAAGGGACGCTGAGGGCTGTGCGGGTCCCTCCGTGAGGGGAGGCTCATTAGGGATGTTGGGAGTGGGTTGAATTGGCCCGGCTGGGAGCTGGGCGGCCGGGGTCTTACGTACTGCCTGTATGGAATAAGTAACCCCATCCATGGTCAGAAAGAGAAGTCTTTGTGATCTAATAGATCTCGAGCGTAGTGTGTATATGGGTGCGGGTAAGGGCTGGGAAGGTTTTGGGTTGTCATACATGGAATGTACATGGACGTGAATGAACAACAATGTTTGAGGGAATGAAGAAGTTGGCTGGCACACCCACAATGCGTACTTCCCAACAGGCCTGAACAACATCACGGCACCTTTGTCCTCCGGGTGCTGCTGCTCGTGCTGTGCAGCTGCGACAACATCGTTGGCCAAGGCCAACAAGGCTGCCTAGAAGCCCTCGCAGCGGGCCGTTGCTATTGACATGTGGAAGCTTACCCAGAGGGAATCATACTGTGGTTGTGGTGCCGGTGCTGCGCCATCCTCACCTGTGCTTCTCACCCCTTCTGGGGTCAGCAGACCTTTCCGATGAGTATGTAGATGCCGCGCCTGTGGGCTGGAGGTGAATTCCGTGCCCCTGACCCTGATTGGTCATCTTCTGGCTGACTGAGGGTGGATGGGTCCATATTGGTGGTGGTGATTTTCTTTGGGAGTGTTCTTATTGGTGTGGACTGTTATTGGTCTTGTGGAGAGGTGCTGTGTGGTTCCAGCAGGATGGGGTGGTTAGTATTTGATATCCTCGTAAGTGAGCTTTGGTTTGGAATTGACGTTTGTTTTTTTCGCTCTTCCAGCCTCTCCTCAAATTTCTGTGCCGGACTAGCTGGCAACTGGTAGACGTTGCAAGCAATTATGAGTAGAGGGCTCGTCTAGTCAAGGCTTGTACAGACCTAGTGACCTGTAGTTGGACTTGGAGCAGATACTAGGAGGATGAAAAGAATAGTGTATATGCCTAATACACAAGAGGTTTCTGTTGTGATTCAAAATGCTGCCTCATCCTGAATTGGCTAACCTCTATATCTAGAAAACTAGCTGTTTTCCGTTGGATCCACTACAACTAAGGCCAATCACATGTGCATGATTCCTAGTATCAATTATTGTCTTTGCTACCATCTGCAAGAATATGTACAGATTTGGCAATTAAGCTATCTATCATTGGTTGATGAACTGACTATTAGCTGTTAGGCTCTGCCATACCCCCCTCGGAACTTCCAGCAAGAGAAATTCCCCATCTCGGGATGATTTCGATGTTGCTTCCCATACACATGGCTCCCCAGCTCTGAGAAATTGCAGGAAGTCGCGACTCCTTTGCCCACTAGCGAAGCAAACAAACGAAACAGAAAACTTATCCTCAGCCCTCTCTCTTCCCTTTTTTCCCACTGTCTTCTCCAGGCACCCACACTGGCGGTCTGGTTGAGGCCAAAAAAGGGTCGGAAATGGCATCGATATCTCCGTAAGGGGTTCCGTCGACCTGTGACGCAGCCGTGGCTTGGTCGACCACGGCCGACTGCGCCGCGGCCCGTGCCGGCCTCTTCCCCTGGTGGTGGGCGACGGTGGCGCTTTGCGTGGCTGTGTGGTTTCGCTTCTATTCCGTATACGTCCGAGGACATACATGGCGCCTCCATATGGTGGTAAGCACTCAAGACCCAGCGCTTTTTGTGTGGATGTCTACCTATACTTTCTGGGCGGTGTCATCCAATCGAGATGGCCGCGGCGGTAGCAACAGCAGCAGTAGGGTGGATTCCTTTCTAATCTCCATACATATAAAACATATGCGATGCCCACATATAGTAGTAAACCCTTGAGTACCAGCGTTTAATAAAACACAGTGCTAATAACAGGATAGAGAACAGTAGCAGTAACAGTGGTGCCAGCGGCGAGGAGGCGGTGGTAGCGACAGCGGACGAGAGGCGCCTAGGTTGGAGCCCCCGGCATTAGGATCCTTTTTAGGCAGTGTTTTATTTTAATTATTAACTTAGTTTTCATTATTCTCTTTTTATATTTAGTACATGTTAGGGTTAATCGATCTTATATTATTATTAAATTAAATAATAGTAACCACACTACTTTATTTCCTTTAATTTTTAATAATCTATTATACTATATATTAATATATAAAAAAGCCTTTATACATTATATTATATTCTTTAAAATATATTAAATAGTTTTACTTCTATTTTATATATATTTAAAAATATATATAATACTTTATATAATAATAAATATTTAATATTTAATATTTAATATTTAATATTTAATATTTAATATTTAATATTTAAAAGAATATAATATTAATAATAATAGTTATAATATAATAAATATTTATAGTTTTAACTTTATAATATATAAATAAAATTAAAAGTATTATTTTAATAATAATATTAATTAAAATATTATAAAAACTTATATAATAAGATTAAATATAAAATAATTATTATATAAATAAATTATATTAAAAGTTTAATTAAAAATTATTCCTTTAAATATATATATATATATATATTAATAAAACCTTTATTAAATAAGTATTATAACTTTTATTTAAGTATATAATTATTAACTTGAAAAGAATTTAAAATAAAAATAATTAATAATATACTACCTTTAAAACTTTTATAATAAAGTATTAAAACTTTTAAAATAAATTTTAAAAGTAATTTATAAAAAGATAAAGAAAGAGTATAATAAGTTTATTCTTTTAAGTTTATACTTTTATTATTAATAATTATTAACTCTTTAATAATATAAAAATATAATAGAAATAAAAAAATAAATAAATTTAAAGTTCTTTTATAAAAGAATTATAAGGATATATATAAAGTTATTAAAGACTTTATATATAAGCTATTGAAAGAAGAAATAAATAATTATATAGTATAAAGGAAAAATATAGTATAGTTAAAGCTTAAAACATACTATATTAATATTAATAACTAAACTATTTATAATCCTATTTTATTAAGGAGCCTAGTATGTATAAGGTATTCTTTAGCAGCCTTGCTTCTAATAGAATTTATATTGGAGATAAATGTCTTTAGGTGTCTTGGAATTAGGTTATCTGAGGACTACAGGAGTTGAACTTTATTGAAGTATTGATTGATTCTTGCTCGTGTATGTAACAAGGTTATAGCACAGATTGAGAGCTAGAACCCTTAATCTCAAGACATAGATGACCAGTCAAGAGTCAATGCCGTACGAACAGCAGCCAAAGTCTAGCCACAAGTGGCTTCTGCAGAACGTTCTATCCGTGAAGAACAGCACAAGTGTGTTGTAATAGTAGGTATAGAGATCCAGCAGAAGAACATCACTTCTAGTCAGCCATTGAATTGTGGTGACAGCCAGTGGGCCGGCCGATGAACCTGGTCTGCTGGCATGGATTGCTCAATGCACAAATTGTTTGTCCACTGCAAGGCTAGGCCCCACAGAGACCAGGGGGATTGCGATGTATCTTCACACAGACCAGAAGCGCACCATCCGTTGTTCTTTCGGCGAGTTCCCATGTAGTCCCCGGGGCGGGTCGCATGGGGATCATCTGCGCCACACACATGTTAGCATTCAAGTGTTTGACTCTGAACCTAGTGCAGCACAGCTTACCTTGACCAAATGGTGGATTACAAGACCATCTACAACGCTATTCGCAGTTTCTATTTGCCTTCACAAGTTTCAGTTCGGCTTCATTTAAGCCTCAAGAGCAGGTGAAGGAGAAATATGCGGGAAGAGAAGGCCACATGGTTGAAGCAAGCAACAACTTGAAGAGAGAGACAGGCTCAAAAGACAAAAAGGCAAGCACTCACACTGACAGCAAGGATGGGAGCCAGTACTAACCAGTGACGGGAGTAATGCTTCCTGACCTTCCAAGGTTGTCTGTTGGGCACTAGGCCAAGGCTATGTGCCAAGGTGCAACAGGAGCGTGACTGCTAGCCCAAAGCTCTAGCATATGGCCAAGAGACCATAGTAACTAGTCTAAAAGAGAGGTTATTCCTATAGTACATAAATAGCATACTGTCATTATATCGTATTATAACTATCGTTATTAGCATTATATTCTTTCTAAATACTGGGTCTTAAGTGCTTACCACTATATAAAGGCGCTATATATATCCTTAAATATATATAGAATAGAAGTAAAACTATAACTATATATCTTTTAATAATAATTAGTATTATAAATAATAATAAAATTATTATAGAAAATTTAATATTATAATTTCAATTAAATTAATTTTAAATAATATATTATACTTTATTTTTAAAATATTAATTATTTAGTTTTAATTTTCTAATTAAAATTTAATAATATTTTATATATATTACCTTCTTATTATACTTAATAAACCTATTAATATTAAAATAATTTTTATTTTAAAGCTTTCTCTTTATAAACTTTTAAATATTTATATTTACTTTATATAATAAACATTTAAAGACCTTATAATTTAAATTTTCTTTTTCTTTCATTATTTAATAATTATCACTGAAGCCTACTAGTATAGAGCATAGATCCGGTAGGTATTTATGTTATATCTTTCTTACTAATACGCGCAGAAACCTACCTTAGTACCCGGGTAGGGTGTCCGGAGTTCTGGACATAGCACACACTTATCCTTGCTTTCACTTTTTATACTTCATTTGCTCACTAAACTACTGATACATATATTATCCAGAGTCCTGTAGGACCCTACTAATCCCCGAAAGGCCCAGCTGTGGGGTGACGAACTGGTTCGGCCGGTCCTGGGGGGTTGACGACTTCCACAGCCACGAAGCTTGAGAGTTGCGATCGAATGTGGAACGATCGAAGCTGAATGCGATCTACAAGGCTAGCCTGGTGCTAAGCATTCAAGGAGTCTCAATCAATGTGATCGCTAAGCTTACTCCGCCCTAGGTTCGCCCAGGTGTTTGGGTGGTTTTGGTGTGGGTGTTTGTGTACGGTAACATCTCGACCGGAAGTTTGCATGATATCGACTGACTAGGTACCTATTATCCCCACTTTCAATGAGACCAACATCAACATCGGACTACTCGCGTTGACGACCTACGTGCAGGAACTTGGCGGATAATTTAACAACGACTTCATGTACTTCGCGGACCTGAATGAGCTCCAGATGAATTTTACAACTTACAGTTCAATCGAGTCCTGGTGTCCTAACGTCTACCGCTGACGTTTCATGGGCCCTCCGATCTGCAATGACAAGGCTAAAATAGGACGTGAACGGATTTAAGAGTCTGTATCTTGATCGTAATGCTTGAAAAGCTTCGCACAGAACACTCGAAACACAGAAGAGATGACAACATTGCAGATTGAGTTCAGACGGGGATTTAACAATGACCGAGAATCCTCCAAGAAGCGGGCTGCTCTCCGCTGGGATCGTGATCTTGTCGTGACTTTTCAAGGTTGACCCCGCGTTTCTGCTAGTCTTGACCGATACTGAAGCTCGATGGTGCGTTGTTGTTGCTTGTGCTGCAAGATTGCGAACAGATCAACATTCTGCACTCACCACATCAATGCGGTACTGCGGCAAATGCGCGTGGCTGTTTTTGTGTTCGATCCGGGGCTCGGCACTATCTACCTGGATGGCTATGTGCTACACAATCCAGTCAAGGCATGGATCTCGGCGTCAAAAATATGGCTGACGACGAGTCATCGTTGGGCAGAGTAATGCAGATTTTCTCTCCTCAACTTGTGGAGTTGTACGTGATCACGGCGGACGCTCTTGGCTGCTGTCACGGGTCAAAGCTCACGGCACTCTGCGTAACAATTAGCTTGAGAAACTTACGATGTCATATTGCCAAGAGGGCAGAAAACCAGGCGCTGAGATGCTCGTCGTGGTCCCGCCCAGGATGTGCTAAACTCTATTCTCCAGCTGTTCCCAGAAGCCCGGATGCATCTCTCCCAAAAACAGCACTAGAAAAACAGCGGTAGCCGCCCGCGGTTCCGCCGCCCGCGGGAACACCTCCCATGTCGATACTTTGGGCACCGCTGACCTATAATACAGCCTCATGAAAAGAAATATTTCCCTCACCCCATTCTCCTCGCTATGACCACTCTCGTCCTTCTCCTCGGTTTTCACTGAGTCAATCCCCTGCAGACGGGAAGTCTGTACCCGTTCCCGACAAGCCTGCCGTTCGAACGAATCGCAGTGGCCACCAGCTTGGCCGAGGCAAAGAAGTGCCACTTCGACTTCTAGTGGAACCGTGCCCGTTCAATTCAGTTTGAGGTTAGCAATGTATGGTGGGTCATCACTCAGACAGAGTGAGTGTTTTGCACCTCGGGCTGTTGTGCATTTGTAAGCAATGGCAACTTGACATCCGTCCTGCGAGAAGCGCGATGACCGACTGACACAGCTCGGCGCCGTGCTGACGTCTCGTAGTCCGTAGGCCAGCCATTCGACTGCATACTATCCAGCTCGAGGTAACTCACCGTCCCATCCCGGTTCCTGGAATGCCACTCAGACATGCTGCTGCGCGAGAGCGACGCGCCAATCCTCCAAAGAGGAAGAATTAAGCGACGTCCTTGCTCTGTGTGTATGGGATGTATGAACGCAGAATGAATGATCTTGGTAGTACGTGGTGCTTTGACACCCCGATTCAAGCCTCCTTGATAAGATCCCCTCTGCAAGCAAACTCAAAAGTTGCAGCCAAATGCTATCCTATGTCGACCGGTATATAGTGCCCAGGAATTTCCAAGACCAAACAGATGCTCTTGGAAAAGCCCACCTGGCGCAGCCTGCACGCCCGTCAGATCCCAACTAGTGTAGGCGCCGCCCGTTCCCCGAAACAGATGCACTGTTACCCTGACCAGGCGTTCACCTTGAGAATAAGAGTCGGTCCATGTCTCCCGCTGCCGCACGCACGAGGCTTGGTGGCCCACCATACCAACGGCAACTTCCGCTCACGACCCGTGACCACGACACGATGCCAAATTCTTTTCCTATCGAGCGCAAGGACCAGAAGTCCATCATCGCCGTCGGTGTGGTGTTCAGTGTCCTCGCTGCCGTGGCTGTTGGGATGCGACTGGTGTCGAGGAGGATAATTGGCCGGGCGTTCGACTGGAGTGACTTCTTGATAATAGCAGCATGCGTATGTGTTGTGGGCTGGGACATCTGTTGAGTTAAATGTTATACTGACCCTCAAGAAAGATCACAGTGATATCATATTGGGCCACGGCATTGGCAGGTTAGTTTGACAATCACGAACTCTTTAGTAATCATGCCTTGACCAATACTGACATCTTAGACTAAAGGCGTTGTCATAGGAGGATTGGGCTTCCATGTGGGGGAAATAATAGACATGTATGGCCATGCGGAGGTCGAGATCGCTTTTCAGGTACGTGAGCGGTCACATATTACTTCAATGTTGTCCCTCTTCTGACCTCGATATGTGATCAGATTTCTTTCGCCTTGCAAATACTTTGGGCGATAGCAGGTGGTCTGTATAAGGCTTCAATACTTCTCTTCTACATCGAGATATTTCCCACCCTCAAACAATGGGGGCGAGTCACCATGGCCATCATCGTCTGCTACACGCTCAGCACAACTTTGGCGGCCGTTCTAGTTTGCGAGGAGGTGGATGACAACTGGGAATACGAGAAACTGTTTCAGGGGAAATGCGGAGATCGTATCCTAGTCTTCCGTGTCACCGGTGCCCTCAACATCGTTTCGGACGTTGTTGTTCTGTTACTCCCGGTCCCCAACGTCCTCAAGCTACAGCTTCCATTGTACCGCAGGTTGGTTCTTTTGGCCACGTTCACCCTCGGCCTGTTGTAAGTACAAGCCAAAACATGAGGTTGGGAATTGGCGTGCTGACATTTTTATCAACAGCACCTGCGTGATCAGCATCATACGATTAGGAACACTGTCGAGCCTGAGCCCAGGAGACTTCCGAGACACGCCCTATGCGATCATGCAAACAGTCATATGGAGCGGGTTGGAGCCAAGCTTCGCCGTCATTCTTGCCTGCGTGCCGCTAATGAGGCCGCTCTTCCTCCGCATCCGCGGCGTCGTGGAATTTTCGGAAGACCGAAGCAAATCGATGTCGGCGAATGGCCAGTCTCTCTCCATGAGAACCGCACCACGGGTGTTGGCATATAATCAGATCGTCGACAGCGTTGCTGTCCCGGCGTCTACGGCGAGGGTTCATAACATGGAGGCAATGCTGATTTCGAGAGATGGCAGTCCGATTTCTGATATGGAACTAGGAAACATTGTGCATTCAAGTCGATCTAATTAATTAGATCGAAATGTACAAATAGAGCAGCGAGGCACATTGATTTCGTTCCATAGCAACATGCGGAAGCTTCCTTTACTGGCCGGCTTTCACCGCTTCCGACAGCTGGTGCCTGAATTATATCCTAGATTCCGCCTGCTCAGACGTGTAATTGTTTTTTCTCCGGTCTACCAGTTCTCAGGACGATTTGGAATCATGGGCGGCTTGGCCTGGTACCAAAGGCTCACACTTGACCAAGAATGAAGCTAGAAAAAGTGAAGGAAGGCTATCCCTACAAAGGAAAACCAGAGTGCATAGGCATATGCATGTACTTGACATTAAGCATAGTCAGCGCTATGTACATATGTAGACTCGCACGCGCGGTTTCAAGGTCTGGGGACATTATTGAGAATATACACTGTATGTTTTCTCCCCCTAAACGCTGGGTCTTGAGCTGAGTCTTGAGCGTTTACCACCGTAGGAAGGCGTCATGTACCTTGGTATGTCTAGGGACGTATGTGGAATACAAGCGAAACTAACTAGTTAATGATAACTATATTAAAGGGAGTAACATTGAAGTGCTTTTTATAGCTTTAAGATAAATAGAGCGCTTCTTTTTCACATAATTATATTTCCGAGGATTTCATTCCCTGCCGTGATGGCACATTGTCATGAATACTAGCAGCAATATGTGCTGGAGGATTTAGCCTGGCGTTTCTAACCAGCATTCACTAAATATGTTGATTGGCTCACATGCTACTGAGAAGGTTAATCTGTTTTATCCATAATGTTTCCTAACCAGCATACCTCATTGGCACCATTGCTATAGGTCATCTCAGTCATGAATGGATGCCTGCAAGAGCAGGGGTTTTGGACCCACCAATCCAGAGCTTACTGAGTTTGGCAACCGATGATGACATTGTGGACTGGGAAGCTATTTGATCTCGTTATTTCCGGCCAGCCACTAGGGCGGTCTGGAGTGATGAATATCTAAAAATTTAAATTTTCACTTTACCCACCCCCTTACCTATACCTACCCCCCACCCTACCTTAACCTAAGCTATACCTATTATAGCTATTTAACTTTATTTATAAACTACTTTTCTATTATTATTAAACTTTCTAATTAGCTTACCCTATAATATATATATCTCTTTATTATTATATTATTTTAAATATTATAACTTTAATAAATATATAATTATTATAATAACTTTTTAACCTTTAATTAATTTTATTTTTAATAATTATTATTTTTTAAGAGTTAAAACTATTTAAAAAGACTATTATATTATAAAATAGTTAATTATTTAAATTATTAATAACCTTTATTAATATAATTATAATAATATATATATTTTATTTAATAAAACTTAAATAAATAATTAATTAATTATTATATTCTTTTATTATCTTTTATTATTATATATTAATATTAATTATAAAAGTTATATATCTATTTAATATTAAAAGTTCTATTATAATAATAAAAAGTAATATCTTTTATTAACTTTAACTACCTTTATAATATTTATATATTAATAATAACCCTTTTATAAATTAGGCTCTAATAATATTTATAAAGTCTATAAATCTATTATATTTAAAAACCTTTAAAATAATACTACTATTTTAAAAACTTATTAAAAACTTATATTAATTATTACTATAATAATTATAATAATATATATATTTATTAAATTAATAAATATAATATAATAATATATTAAAATATATTAAATTAATAATAATAAAACTAAATAAAAAATAATTAAAAAAATAAAAATAAAAAACTTTTATTAATTTTATAAAAGTATATAATACTTATTATAATTAAAAACTTAAAAGTAATATAATATTATTAAGCTATAATTCTTAAATTATAAAAATTAAATAAAACTTAATAACTAAAAATAGAAAGTTTAAAATATAATATAAAAGTAAGAGTATTAAGAATAATATAAAAAAGAGTTTTAAAAAGTACTATAATAGATAATATATTAATATTTAATATTTAAAATATCTATAATACTCTAAAATATAATTAAAATTAAATTAAAATTAAATATTTAAATTAAAACTATTTTAATAAATATATAATATATATAATAATAAAAATAATAAAATATAAAGTAATTATTAATTAAAAAATTAAATTTTTATAATCTACTTTTAGAATATTAATATTAAAGTTTAGATATATATATTTTAATATAAAATAATATATTAGAATAAAAATATTAAATATAGTATAAAATTCTTTATTTTTATAGTAATATATAAAACTTATTATAAACTTATATTCTAAATAGTAAAATTATAATTTATAATAATAATAATAATATTTTAAACTTTCTATTATTAAATAATAAAATCTAATAATAATTTATAATTTAAAATAAACTATTTAAATTTTATTAATAAGATTTTATAAATATAAATTATTTTTAAATTATAAATTATTTTTAATATTTAATATAAAATTTATAATTAATCTTTTATTTAATTTTATTTAACTTTTTTAATTTTTATAAATTATTCTTTTATTAATAATATTTTAAAATAATAAAAAATAATTATATTTAAATATTATATATAATTTTTAAATTTATTAATTTAATAATTTTATTATAAATAAAGAAAATAATTATTAATAATTAAATTTATAAATATATAAAAATAAATTTTAAAAGTTATATATTAAAAACCTTTAATTTATAAAATAAATCTTTAATTAAATTTAAAATATTATTATTTAAAAAAATTATATTTAAAAATAATTTTTAAATAAACTTTAATTTATTAAAATAAATTTTTATTTTAAAAATTTATTATTTTTAAAATAATTAATATATTTTAAAAAAATTTATTATAAATTTAATATAAAATAAATATAAATTTATAAAACTTTTAATTTAAATTTAAAGATTATTATATAATTATAATTTATTATAATATTAAATATCCTTTTAAATATAAAGTTAAAAGATTTATAATTATAAAATTTTAATTAATTTTTATTTAATTATTTTATTATATTATAATTTAATTTAATTTTAATTTAGTTTAAGATTTTCTTTAAATCTTTATAACTTTTTTATTTTTAAATAAATTAAAGTTTTATATTTTTAAATTTAAATTTAAAATATTTATAAATTTTAATATATTTTAAATTAAAATTATAATTTTTAATATTTTTAGAAATATATTAACTATATTAAATATTAATAATTTCTTTTAAAATAAAATTTATTTTTATATAATTATAAATTTAATTATTAATAATTATTTTTTATTTATAATAAAATAAATTAATAAAATTATAAATTTAAATAATAAAATATAATTATTTTATTTAAAGATTATTTTTAATTTTAATAAATTAAATAATTATTTTTAAATAAATTTATTTAATAAATATTTATTTAAATAAAATTAAAATTTATATATATTTTTAATTAAAAATAATAATTTTATTTTTATTTATTTTAATTAATTTATATTTAAAAGTTTAAATATTATAATAATATTATATATAATATTTAATAATATTAAAATTAATTTTAATTTATAATAATTTTAATTTTAATAAATTAAATATAACTTAATATATTAATATAAAAATATTTTTATAATAAATAATATTATAAATATAATAAATTTAATTAAATTAATTTTTAAAGAATATATTATATTTTATTTTTTAAATTATAATTATTTATTTTAATTTAATAATAAAATTAAAAATATAAATAATTTATATTTAAAAATAAAATATATATTAAATTTATAAATTAATTTATTTATATAATAAAAATATTAAAATAATAAACTTTTAATAAAATATAAAATAAACTTTTTTATTTTAATATTTTTTATTAAAAATTAAATTAAAATATATAAACTTTAATATATCTAAATAAATAATAATAATAAATAATAAATATAAATTTAATAAAATTTATAATTTAATAATTATAAAACTTTAAAATTAAAATTTATATTAAAAATTTTAATATTATTATTTAAAATTTAATATTATTTATTTTATATTTTTAAAAATTAAAAATAAACTTATTTAATTAAAATATTAATATTAAAAGAATTTATAATACTATATAAAGAATATATCTTTAAAACCCTTTAATATATATATTTTTACTTTAAACTCTATATAAATAAGGATTTAAAAGTAGTATTATATTAAGTTATATAATTTTTTCTATATTATTTATTTTCTTTTAATATAGTTCTATTAATCTTACTATCTTTTAATAAACTATTAATATTATCCCTTAATTAATAAATATACCTACTTATAAAAATAATTATCTTTAAATATAAATAATTATATATCCTTTTATTATTTTTACTTACCTTCTATATTCTATTTTACTATATTATAAAGTAATTATTTTTAATATATAATTAAAGGTTATTAAAAGTTTATAATTTAACTTTATAATAAAAGCTTTATAATATATAAAATCCTTTCTATCCTTAAAGAGAATTATTTACTTTTAATATCTTAATAAACTCTTTATATATATATATTTATTTAAAGTTTACTATTTTAATATAGATATTTATATAATAATTCTAAACTCTACTATTAAATTTAAATATATTTCTTTAATAAATAACTTATAAATAAAGAGATATATTATTTCCTTTTAAAATAGCTTTTAATTATTTAAAAACCTTATATATAATCTAAAGTAAACTTAACTTTTTTACTATTTTATATTTAAATAAAAGTAATCTATTATTATTAATATTCTTATTTTTTAATAAATAATTCTACTCTTTAATTTTTTTATAATTTATATAATATTAACTATATATATATATATTCTAATAAATAAGTATTTATCTTTTAATATATCTTACTTTTAATATATTAAAGAAAAACTATTTAAATTAAATAAATTTATAATATTAAACTTTATAAAAATATTAATTTAACTTTATAAATCCTAAATCTTATTATATATAGTATTAATAAATATTATAAATTAAAAATT